ATCCACTAAATATTGAGGCGTATTCATGCCACTCATATGAGAGCTGAGTTGCATCCTGCTAACGGTGTTCGGCATCTTGTGCTTGCTTTCTTTTGTACAGATGACAGCTGCGTATGACTTACTTTATTTTCTGGTGCTTTCACTTCCAGAGACAGTGATAAGCACTGTGTAACTGCCTCGAGGGTGGTTGACCAATTTAACACAACGTGGTGCGATTATCCCCTGTGCGCGGAGTGAGGGTTCTCCACCCCGCACAACATGATCTACTCGACCACCATTATGGTTACCGCAAAAAAAAAAAACAAGAGCAAAAAGAAAAAGGTAACCTGGTTGCCGAGCTCACGAAGTGATCGGCTTGTTTTACAACATCGCTGTCAAGCGACGAAAACCCAACCCCGATGGCACGCACCGGCGGGGGCGGCTTGTCGACGAAAACCCAACCCCGATGGAAAACATCTAGGGGGGGGGAGGGCGCGGGGATTGAGTAGAGGGCCCCTGTTCTGTGATCCGGAGGCCGATACTCCGGGGGTCGATCTAGATGTTAAATTGGAGCATGTTAAATCCGTTGACCGTAGTACAGCGTCCATGATAAAATTACACAGCGTTCCACATCGACGAACACAATCAACCGCAACAATCTTCTCCCCCCACCTCCTGTCTTCGGAACGACTCGAACTTCTGGATCTCCTCCAGGCCGGGCAGGGCGCGGAGCATCCCGCTCTGCCGCGACACGAAGAACACCTCCCGCCCCGCCTTCTTGAGGTCCATCGGCCGCATCGGCATCGCCTCCCACGCCGACGGCTTGAGGTAGGAGTTGAACGTCATGTCGATCTGTAAAGGTCACCGAGACGGGGTCCACGCGAGCGGCGGCGTCGACAGGAGGGGGGGGGTCGAGAAGCTTTAAACGCGAGGCTCACGCCGGTAAAAAGAATGGAATCACGCACGCACTGGGTAGGATGTTGGCTGATGTTTGTGAGCCTCTTCTCAGGGAAAATCGCGCACGGGGATATTCGAGACGAGAATACCCGCTTCTGCCTGCTGCTCCGTTGGCATTTCCTTGGCTTCCAACACGCAGTCGAGCTTCACAAACGGCTATTCGGCAGGCAGAGAGTAACGGCGGGCCTTCAGCTGCAAAAGCAGCGAGAGTAGCGGACACAATGAACCAAACCCCTGAGCAGAGGAAGAACTCCGCACCCTTCAATGCTTGACGAAGGGGGCAAGAGACACCCCGCTCGCTCGGCCGACGGGCCGCGCGATACGGGCACATCTGCGGCCGACTAGAAGGTACTGGGTAGACCATAACGCTCGTTAATGTGAAGACAACCCAAACAACAACAACAACAACAACAACAACAACAACAACAACAACAGCAGCAGCAGCAGCAGCAGCAGCAGCAGCAACAACAACAACAGAAACAACAACAAGAACAACAAGAACAACAACAACTCGCGCATGTCATTCGTGCCTGGTTGTAGCCGAGGCACTCGTCCGCGATGGCCTGCCAGGTGCCCTCCCCCCCGTGGCAGCGCGTGCCGACCTCGACGAGGCAGGGTCCGGTCGTCGTGAACTTAACCTCCATGTGCCCCGGACCGTGGACGACTCCCATGGCGTCTGAGAGTGGACGTAAGCCCCATCCAGCACATCATCATCATCATCATCGTTAGGGAGAGACAAGCAAAAGGGGCCTTTGCGGGGTACACGTTTCTTTTGTGTACGTGGCGCCGCGTGACTTTTACCACTATCGGGTCCTCCTTAACACTCTCCACCCACAGAATTTACCCTCAACTGAGAACCTCTTGTGGCCAGGACGGGTAATTCGATGGAAGTGTCACAAGGTTCTTTGTAGGATCCACTCTAAGAGGTGTTCTCAGGACTGACACACGTTGTGTCCATGGGAAAATGTCCAAGTCAGGAGAAAAAATGTGCACCCAAGGAGATTCGAACCAGTATCCTGTCGCTGACGCCATGTGCGAAGGTGTACCGATTCTGGTAAAAGTAAATCGACGGATGCCCTGCGAATCGGGTCCTCCTTCTTAACACGTTACTACTGCTGTATACACACGTCAGACATAAAATCTGGACCCAAAGAAACGTAAAGACGATTTCGACGGACGCATACGCAAGACAAGACACTGATGTTGGGGGGACCAAAAAAAGGTAGAATTGGCATTCGGACACAGACCTCGGAAAAAATAGGGTATACCCTTTTTCCAAGGGATGCATCGGAAACCACCAACTACTTAAAGCATGTAGGATGACGAGGCTTGACAGGGAGATACAAGTCTTGGGGGTGAGAAAATTCAGATCGTTTGCACTTCATCGGCGTAGATTTCCGTGTGGCAGTTTGTGGCCAAGACCACAATTTCCACGCCCCGTGGTTGTGCGCTTGCGAGCAAACAAATGCGATGTATGCACACCGAAAGAGAAGAGGGCATACAATAGAAAACCCGCACAAAAAAAACTTCAAGCAGCACTTGCGGTGTCAGGCCGCGTTAGGCCCAACAGCGAGCATCGCCAACCCCCTCCTAAAAAACAAATAAAAGCCAGGATTGGCGGAAAACCCGACTCCCAACCCGAAGGAGTAAGCGAATAGAACCCACCCAACACCTTGACCGCGTAGTCGACGATGGCCCTCTCCCTGTCCCCCTTTGCGGAGTTGAGCTTCATGCCGAAGTAGACGAAGTTCGCCCCGTTGACCGAGCGCTTGTCGTACTCCCAGATGGCGCAGATGCGGTGGACGCCGTCCCTGCTGACGCTGTCCACCACGTACTCGGTTCCGTCCAGGTACTCTTGGACCAGAGCCCCCTCATTCACGCCTCCCAGACCGTTCACCTGTTTACCACCAACAAAAAGTTGTGACTAAATAATTGCCGATCGACAGCACGAAAAAAAAGAAGGCGGATGCCAAAACACCACAAATCACTTGTATCGAGTTCCAACATCGACAGTGTTAATAAACCCGGCAGATGCCAAGCACAAACAAATGTGTATCGTAACGCTTGCACGCGTGGGGGTGATGAAAACACCACGACGCGAAACACCACAAGCGATATTCCATGTGTGTGCAGAGGCCGAAAAGCGACGTCCTAACACGCACGAACACAAACATACACATACATAGATATCTCCGTAGATCGAGAGGCCCGCCGACACCTACCTCTGTTTCTCCAACCAAGCAACGAAAACAAATACCAAGGGGAGAGAGAGCGAGGCCGGGAATCACTAAATAATCTTCCCTTCACCTTGCCGTCGATGACCGAGAACGCCTCCTTCACGTCCTCGAGGCTGCGGCACAGGTACACGTCGTCCGACCCGGCGCTCTCGAGGGGCTTCACCACGGCCTTGAAGGGGTCAGGGTTCCAGTCCTGGAGAAACGCTTCGCAGTCGTCCCACGAGCGGGCCAGCATCTGGCGAACAGCCCGGACCTCGTGACTCCTCACCTTCCAACGGCAACAACAACAAGTTTCACCATGTTAAAAACATCTACAGAGTCGAACGGGCGGCGGTGGCGGTGGCGGCGGCGGTAGCTGTAGGCTTCCTGGATGAGAGCGTGTAAGGACCCTGTGCCCCCCCGAGACACAGTAGCCATCACAAACAAACAGAGGGGGTGTACTCATGTGAACGCGTGCCGTTGTCGTTAGACCATTGACCTCGCATCTCTACAATGCCGGGACGGAGCGATATGGCCGGTTTTCGTCGGCCCACGCTATCACATCACAAGAATGAACCAGATCCTGGTCATCACCTTTGCGTTTTCCGTACACCAAACCAGATTTGCCACGGAGGGGGGGGGATAGTCCGTGGCACGACCAACGCCAGGGCCATCGAACACAGCAAGGCAGAGACAGAGGAAGAGGATGAGAGAGAGGGAGAGAGAGGGAGAGAGAGGGAGAGAGAGGGAGAGAGAGAGAGAGAGAGAGAGAGAGAGAGAGAGAGAGAGAGAGAGAGAGAGAGAGAGAGAGAGAGAGAGAGAGAGAGAGAGAGAGAGAAAGGCGGAAATCGGTGGCAAGACTCACCTGCTCTGCCATGAGGTGCTTGTTCCTGCGGCACAGGCTGAGCTCCTCCCCGTTGGAGGCAAGCCCAAGCCGGCTCGACAGGATGTCGGCGAGCTCCACCCCGGTCTCCGCCCCTGACGCCGACAACGCGACACGTGTTGCCCGTTTCAATTGCGGGAACATGTTGAGACAGGTGGAACGCAGCAGGAGGAAACAACTAGAGCAAGGCGTAGACGAGTGGGGGACACAATAACAACAATCAAGCTCGAAACCCGAAGGCTTCATACGGCGCAACTGGCGAAGATGGCGACGGGTTGGGTCGAGCAACACGACCCTGTTCTCTTCAAGACACGGCGGCTCCCCTGCCCTGCTGCAGGTACGGTAGGCTGCGATTTGTTCCTCGTAGTTGGCAACTCGTGTGTGCGGGAAAACACGATTCGTTCACCCACCCGGGGTACGGGAGTCACTCACACACACGCCGGCAGGCTACTCCCCACTCCCCACCCCAGGACATACAGTCGTACCAAACGAAAAAAAAAAAAATCACAAAATCAAACACTAAACGGCACTCTGCAATACCGGAGATGGTCTCACCCTCATCTCAAACCGGTGGCGTGCTCTCGCTCCGGGCGAAGACATTCCACCGTCGCTGCTTTGAAGCCCTATCAGATGTTGACAAAGCTCAAAGCCCACCCGCAACGGCAAGCTCAACATCCCCGGCCGCCGCCGCCGCAGGGGGTACAGTACATGCTCTATGTAGGCGTCCAAGCCCCCCCCCACCCCCACCCTTCTCTGGTTTCCTTTCATGGCGGCGTGTGCTCACCGGGCATGACGGCGGCGATGCCCCATGGCAAAAGGCTGAGCTCTCCGAGAAGTTCCGCGATGGAGGCCTCAGGGTCCGGCGACCTATGTACGAGTAGCCGGCACCAATGAGAGCGGCACAATGGGAGAGAGAGAGAGAGAGAGAGAGAGAGAGAGAGAGAGAGAGAGAGAGGCGGTCAAGACGACAGCTACAGAGGGAGGTGGGGGGGGGGAGCTTCCGGAAGGGACAGAGGAATGGAAGGAAATCAGCGGGGCTACAGCTCTCGCCTGAACGACAATTGCAGAGGGGGAAGAAGAGGGGGGACTCGACATGGTGACATGCCACGTGGCAAGAAAACGAAAGTCTCGATGGTTCTGCTCTCCAGGCCTCTCACGCCTGGTCTCCCACCCACATGGCTGCTCTGCCCTGCCCGCGGTTGTACCCCCCCCCCCTCTCCCCCGCCGCAACTACCCTCCTAAAGGCCGCCACGGTGCCCCTCCCTCGCCGCGCGTTGGGACCCTCTTCCGAAAACCCCCGTCTTGCGGACAACCAGCGGCGGTGTTTCTCGCGGCCGTTGCTGGGCGGGTAGAGGGGGGGGGGGGGGCATCGAAAAACACGGTGCCCCCGTCCCGTCTGCAAAGCAGCGAGCTCGGAGTCGCCCATGACCCGCCACCGACGTGCGCAACGCCCTACTGTAGCTCTACCCTTATCTCCGGCCCTAGCACTAGCACTCTCCTCGTATCAACACCGCGAACTTCCTCCGTAAACATGTCACACAAACACACACCTGTCATCAAGCTGGAAGGTGGCGTCGAACTCGAGCACGGTCCCTTCCTGCACGAGCTTGGCCACCGGCGAGTCCATGACGCTGAAAACGCGGACGCACCGGTACCCCTCAGCGATCACCCTGACAGGAACAGCGGTGAAACAAGGGTCCGCGTGAGAAGGGGGAGATGAGGCGGGGGAGGTACCTGTCCAAGCACAATCCTGCGAAGAAAGGCAGCGTCGGGGTTAGGGTTCCAAATCCGAAACGTCGGCGAAACGCTAGCCGCCACCCACGGGGACCCAGAAAACACACTAATTAACAGACAACACAACGGGGTGAAAAGTGTGGACTACTAGGTGGTCTTTCTTTGGCACTTTACGGAGGGGAACACAGCCGTGTCAACGAAAAGAACAAGCGCTTGCAGCCTGAAGCGCCATATGCCAATACGGGCAAACACGCCGCCACCGCGAGGGCCGCCCCCGCCCGCACGATAGAGATCGACTGCAACCAATCCTACGACATGTCATAAAACAAAAGGGGAGAGGGTGTTCACAGAGAAACTAGGCGCCACCTTTTGGCAAGGAGAGCGCCGGACGAAAAGGGGTCCACCACGACGACGGCCTTGGCGTCACGGGCCCTAACTTTGGCGGCCGCAATCTCCGGGGCCATCCCCGGCTCCTGCTGCAACCACCGAGCCAAGACCAACGGGACACACGGCAAAACACCGAGGACGGATGCGTCAAGAATACGGGGCGGTTAGGGGCGTGGTCCACGGGAGGATAGGGAGGGGGTGAGGGTGTCAACGCCTGCAAAGACTGCGTCCACCGCCGTAACAGCACTCGAGCACCCATGACCTGGATACTTACAACAGAGAGAAGCAAGCACGTTCGAACAAAAATTTCAAAACACGGGCCGGGGTGGGGGTACCGGCGGCAACGGCCATTGCCAATGCTAGAGAAGAAAAACTATGAACTCCACCACTCACGGGGCCGGCAAGTGGCGTGTATGCTCTCCACTCGCGGCGAGAGCACAGCAGGGCGTTCGGTTCGCGGCAGCTACCGGCAAATCGACGCCACGACCAAGCACAAGGTGGTTCACCCGCCCCCACTGCCTATTGCGTGGATCGCTAGCAAACATCGTCCAATGAGAGAGCAAGCGGGAGAGGGGGGGGGGGGGAGAGAGAGAACCATGCTCGGAAATCTCCCCGCCCTAGCCTCGATGGAAGCAAACCACAGACACCTTCCTCGGCTTCCGAACCCGGGCCGCTGATTTGGATCTCCGGATCGCATCTCTGTCTGGATCAGGATCTCCGAAATTGCATCTCTGAACCCCCCGAAAACTCAGCACGGCCAGGTTCTCCGAATTTTGATCTCGGACCCCCCCCCTCCCGAAACGACACAATGTTCCCCTCCCCTCCCTCGTTTTTTCACGCACCATTGTTCCCTTCTGGGGCGCCGCGAAGCTGACGTTCTTCTTGAGCATGCGCCACGGATCTCTCTTGTCCCAGGCCTCGGCGTACGTCTCTTGAGCCGCCTTGCTGTTGAAGGAGAAGCGGGCCTGCATGTTTGTCACCGCCTCCGACCGCGCCTGTTGATTGGGAGGTCGGGATGTGACGGATGGGATGGGATGGGACTAGGACTCGACTGAAACGCAGCAGCACACCACAGCATATCACACCCACGGCAGTCCACCCGCGACGAAGACACATACTGTACGTACACGCAAAGACAGCACCAAGAAATGTTTTGGCATGCATTCTTCATCGAAAACCGGCGTCGGCTACGACAACGGGGTACACGGGGAGAGGACGGGAATTGAGGATTGGGTTCGTTTCGATTACAAAACCGCTGAGAGAAACCGTCTTGACCTCTACTCGGAAACTTTCATAGGTCGCCTTGACAACGAGGATGTCGGAAGGTGACCCCGACGCACCACGGGGTCGCGCCACACGATACAAGAGTAGATGAAACACACTTACGTAGCACGGAAGCAGCTGAGATAAACAAAACGGAAACGGCCTGCTCGCAAAGGCGCTGGAGCGCGCATAGCCCGCTGTGTGGCAAGCGAGAGCCATAAAAAGCCCAAACACGAAGTCCACGGCTTTCAGGAGGGAACAGCATGTCACCCGCGCACTTGAACTGCGCAGGACTGAGCGTTTGCTGTCGTCTTCACAGTCAAAAACGTTCCGGTCTTTGCTCAGTACCTTTTAATATCCGTACTGGTCCAACTGACGTCGACGCGTTCCGCGCACACGGGCCAACTTCCCCAAACATGTACCACACATTGCAAAAAAAATCGAGGAAAAAAGGAAAAGCACCCAAAAATCATCACTACTGTGGAGGAGGGGACCCGATTCGCACGGCATCCGTCGATTGACTTTTACCAGAATCGGTACACCTTCGCAACAACCGCGATAAAATAGAAAGCGTAAAAACACATCCAAATAAGAACGCCACGTATCCGAGTGGGTGGTCTTGTAGACTGTAGGCAGAAAATAAGACGCGATAACTGGCGATAAACAAAAAAAACAAAGAAAAAAAAAAGCACACGCTGCTGCGGACGAACAACCTTCCGAAGCGGCACGAAGCCCTCGCTCTCCACCAGGTTAGACCCGGGGATGCCCCCCGTCGCTCCGAGAGCAGCAGTAGCGGAGGGCTGCAGCAGCCCGCCCGCCATGGAGTGCGCGCCCTTCGTCCTCCACAGCGGGGTGAAGTAGTCCCGGCCCGTGCCCCCCTCGCCTGCCGCTGCGCCGCCCTCGGGGCTGCCTTCCCCGTGCACGAACGCCTCGCGTGCCATGCTGCCTGTTCCTGTAAGCGGGCGTAAGCGGGTGGAGCGTTTCGGTTGGGGGGGTCACAAGGCAGGGAGGGAGGGCGTGTGAGGTCGTCACCGATGTATTATAGTTGCTTTCAACGAAGGGAGGGAAATATATCTAAAAGGGTGCCACACACAAAACGCCCGACCAGTACCTAACACATATCATCTGCACCTTCCCAACATAACATATATGAGACACACAAGACAGCTACCAAACTGTCTTGTTGAGCCTGTTACCCGCAGGGGAGATGTCCCTATACGCTGTCTGGGAAATCGTAGACATACAGGTACTTTCTGACGCTATGAATCCATTGCTTATCTGTCTCAGACTCTGGTTGAGATGGTTTCGTTGTGTCATATTAAGAAAAAAAAAAAAAGATATGGGGATCTCGTGGATAAAAAAAAAGAAAAGGTATGGATGGAAACAACAGCCTTCTGATTTTTCGTTCTGCGGGGGTCGTTTCCGAACTGGCCGAGAAAAAACATGCGGTGGAAATTCCAGACATTGTAGCCTGGGCAAAAACGTCATGTTCGGGGAATGAGCAGGAGTTGTTACTGAGATGAGACATTAACGAGAGAGCACCCAAAATGTGCATAAGAAATGCATCTGCGAGTGATCCATTTGCGCCTGCCAGCCGGCACTTCACAGCATTCAGCAGTAGTACAGCAGTGTTTACTACACATGTAACGGTAGTGTGCTCGAGTCCAACCTTTGTTCATTTCATGTTTTCGCCAGAATCGCGGGAAATTGATTGCTCTCCGGCGCACCTAGAGTAGACAGCTGTTTCTTCACTCGGTTTTGGAATAGTGGATTTCTTCGCTCGCACAACGCAGGACAGCATATCGAAGGTCTGCCCTCTCTGCGCACTCCAGGCCTACGTAAATCATTTGGATTTGATCTGCATTTGACTGTCTTCTGTGGCCATTCGATCATGCGCACCTCTGCTCAGTACTGCTCTCGGGTTGCAACTCGCACACACTCCTTCTTTGTTTCAAGCACGCATCGATCCAGCCACACGGCAGTCATCCGCGCGCGCAAGCGAGATGCACATTCCGCCGTTCGCTCAAAGATCCAGCTCGGCAACTAACAACTGCTGCAGTCTGTCACCGGTGCCATGTACGTATCACATCATACCGCATATGAGACCATTTGGTCGAGACAATACCAACAGCAACCGCACTCTCAAACCTCTAGTATGGGAGGTTGCTGAGGTTCGTAGTTGCTAATGTGGACTACGATTGGCCGTCATGGTTTTATTGTACGCGTTCTCAAATGGGTTTACAATTGGTGCTCAAGGTCGTGGAATGTTTGGCCAGACTTCTGCGGTGTTGAGCATGAACTTCGGGCGCTACAACATCTTGTCTCCTGTACATGTCTATCTGTATTATCTGTACAGAGCAGGGAGGCATTTGGGTCTAACCACGTCTTGTCCCACCCCCAAAATGTGGGGTGCTACGCCTCGCAAGATGATGACGAAGGAGGATACCAGCCGAGGCGCACAGGAGAGGCCCCGCGCGGCTGCATCAGCTGTGCAATGCAGCTACAACACCAACAGCCACATTTTTGCGGCGCAATCACCCGGTACGGACGTGGTGGATATTTGGAGGCGTAAAAGTACAACAGCAGCAGTACACATGACTGGTAGCAAAAACGGGGAGGGGGGAGGGGAATAAGTCCCCGCAGCACCATCGCTGGAAAAGACAAACGTTGCAGTCTTTTCCGGAGATGCAGTGCTGGAGGACGGGTGGCGATGGGGGCTGCTATAGATTTCTATCGATCCAATACGTTTTTTTGCCGTGCGATTCTGTCCAGTGACTCGGAACATCTATCTAACATCTACTATTATCTGTCCCAAAGGACCGGAAACGCGATTTCCGTCAGCCTTTTGGATCGCGAAAAAACAGTACCACTCTCCGGACGCCGACCCTGACCCAAAAGCCATGTAAACCCATCAACGAGAGCTATTACATCGCAGTGACAGCGCGGCGTGAGGCGAAACGTCTGCTGAGTTGTGACTCAAAACAAACGCGGCGGTGTAATTGCGCGTGTCGTGTCGCCGAGCCATACAGCAGCAGCAGCAGCAGTGGCAGCTGTCGGTCGGACTGTCGGTCGAAAGGCTCTCACCACGTGTTATGTGTATACACAGCACACCTTATTCCTAGAAAAGCAGCATGAACACACAACCTAAGGGATATGCCGACGTTGCTTCGTAGACCTGCACCCTCACCCGACAAACAATGGGTGGCGCGTGCATCGGCCACTAGGTGTCAACCACCCTCACTGGCTGGGCACCACGAGTGAGAGAGCACAAGATCCATTCGCACGCGACATACATGCAAATTTTTTCATGAGGAGTGGCGAGGGTTGTAGCAGCCCAAAACCTGAGGCAGGGCGAGAAGGGAGCGTGCTGCCACACAAGAAGAACACGAGAAGCTACTGCTGTGCAGCAGCTGCAGTCTTGAGCTGGCTGATCCCCGATCAGATACACACCATACTCGAAAGATATCCGACGGAAATACTGCTATATGTTGTATGCATACATACACACCTCGGTGTTGACAAGCAGGTGCGTGTTTTCCACGCCAGGGGCGGGTGTGCGTGACTCTCGTGCTCACCTCTCTCGCTCTTCTCTAGGCGTCCGCAGCCGGGGAACACTCCCGTTCTTCTCTTCGCCAACGCTCGTTTCGCACAAACCGAGGGCAACCAGCAGAAGTGGCAGACAACAGCTCAACCAATGTTTTGCGACGTGGCTGGGGTCAGCTTGTCACCACCCGGGTGTGTGTGCGTACCATGACACCACACATATTCGTCGAAAAAACAAAATGGATTTCACGCCTCGAAAACTCGCATCTCTATAAAACCCGCATCTCCGAAAACCGGAGATTTGCAGCGGCGAGATAACGAGAAATAGCTCACATTAGGCGAGTTTGCCGGTTTGCCTCCCATGTGCACAAGGGTTCAGCCAGAAACCATGGAACAGGAGGTTAGTGAGGTTTGTCCATTCTTCTCTCCTGGTGATACTGGTACACTGTTAGGGGCTAGTTAGGGGTGCTACTGGCCCAAAAAACCGTATTACTTCGGATTAGAATTTGTTTCACAATTTGTCCGGCATCTTCCAGATGAAAAACTCGAGCCAGCCCAGAACCAATCTCAATCTTGAGAAGAACCTTGCGCACATCGGAAATCGGAAACAGCGGGGAGAGGGGGGAGCAAACGCAACATAAGCCTAAGCGATAGATGCAAACGGTGGCGAACGAACCCCACAGGCACATGTGACGAGCGCGACGCCAGGAAAGCAGTCGGTTTGCTTGGTCCTTGGAGCTGCTGCGGCGTGGGTGTCTGATGTCTGATGTGACGAAAAATCTGTCGTATCTTGTTGCACCCGAACTGAAGGCGTTGTCTTTCGTCACAAACGCTTGCTGCCGAGAAACATAAGAGACGCCGCTTGACACTGCTTGCCACCACCGCCCCCCGACAAAGAAGGCCAGGGCCTACCGGTACCTGACGCTGTGGTTGGACGTCTGCGCTCGTAGGTCAATCAAGCAAGCGAGATCGACATAAACAGCGATGATTTGTGCCGCGAACCTCTTGGTCCGCTTTTTTGCCCTTTTTTTTCGGATTTGTTGAACGAGGTCTGCTGCACACCATCTTTGCTCCACCACCTCTGCTTTGCTCAACACACTCAGGATAGTAGAAAGAGCGCAGGGTTGCTAGCTTCATCTCTCTCCGCAGTATCCCAGCAGCATCGGCGACGATGGCTGAAACAAGGAAAACCAGAACCAGCCAGCTCAGCTGCAAAACGGACTTTTCTTCAGCAAGTCGGCACTACAGTACAGCAGTATTTAGCTTTCCTTTTTGAGACACATCACGCACGCCTATCTCGCGGTTCAGCAGTCGCACGAATCGCTGAGAAGCAGCAAACGCACACCCAGCTGTCACCGCGTGGGTGGTGGCGGCAGAAGAACCTCTAACTTCCGCATGCCGAAAGTTGTTGTGTCGCCCTGTCTCAACATTCGGGGGGGGGAGAGGGTTCCGCTCGCTCTTACCCGTCTGGAGGAACTCCAGCCAGATAGTGCGCTGCAAACTCGCATTTTTGAAGACTCGCATCGCCTCCGATGTCAGCAGGACAAACGTGCTGAAAAGTCCCAAAGATTTTTCGCGGTAATGTCGCCCTATATATTGAAAACGTGAGAAAGAAAATGAGTTTGCAATGCACTTGTCAACGTCTGTGACCTGGTGTACAGTATGTCAAATATGTCACATGAGATAGGGAAACTACTTGCAGCTCAGTCCGTTGCGTAGGCTAAAGCTGCAGCAGCCCGGGGTGCTAGTGCTAGTGCGGGAGAGCAAGTGTGTGCTAGTTCGAATCTAACCGAGTGTAGCAGGGACGCCTGTCTGTCTTGGGCGTAGTGCTCTCTTGAAGTGAATGGTGAATAATACCGGAGACGCCTGGTGTTTCGTACCAACGACATGGCGAGTTCAAACAAGAGGGAGAGAGAGGCAAGGAATTACCTGCTGCTCCTGTTTGGTACGTGTCGCAGGAATGAACGGGTTCGAGGAGGTATCCATATGGATGATGATGATGGGGCAATGGTCCCGTGTCCTGACTACAACTACAAGTAGCTGATTATTGTTCTTGTTCGATTGGGCTGTTCTGGCAGCGAGGACGCGTGCGTGCGGTGTCACGGGTGACCTCCACACACAGCCCCCACCGTGCAGAAAATTCCATTTTCAATGCGTCAAGCCCAATGTATTGCTTGGAACCGCAGGTACTCCGTCAATAGTAGGGATATCCGAAATATTTCGGAGTTTTTTTCAGACGGTGCACCGTCGTCAAGGCCTCCGTTTCGCACGGTTCATTCTACGGAGGAAATCAAACCGCTCCGTGAAACAACCGTGCTACGGATTAACCGCTCCGCTCCGCTCCGTGGCATGAACACGAAAAAACGCTCCTCTCCGTGAGACTTTTCCCCTCGGATAAGCCGCTCCGTGAAAAAATCGAAAGAAGAGAAACCGCTCCGAGGAGCGGTTCAACTCCGTTAACCACCAACCCTGAAAAACTCGAACAGACCGGGATACATACATACAAAGCGGAATAGCATCCCTAACTGCGACTTCGCGATCGAATCCCCGTGAACTACATGTTCATAGGACACTGCTGGGTTCTTGTCGTTGAGTTACTGTACGAAAATACATGGTGGGGTGGGGTCAATCTGTCAGCAGCACCCAAACACCAAGGCATCCGCTGCGCCTGTTGTTGTGAGTTAGGCACCTTCAAGACGGATCGGCTTGCAAAAGGATAGGGCAAGGGGATGGTGGTACTCTAGTCGTCAGCTCCACCTGTGGTAACTGCTACTACAGCAGTACAGAACGCGTCGCCACCTAAGAACCGCTATTTTCGGCAGAGGCTGGGTTTCTTAGTTCCTAGGGTCATGCTGCCAATGATGCTCAAGTTCTTAAATTTTGCTTTTTTGAGGCTCCGTGGCGCGTTCTGTAGCAACGGTTCCACAGTTGATGACTTCAACAGCTACTACAGAAGTAGTCCGGCGTGGTACATTCTCGAGCACAGGGAACAGAAGCAGTACAGGAGAGGACGGCCAGATCAGTAGGATACCATAGAGGATGGAAAAGAAAGGGCGATGCTTCCAAAGAGGCTGCAATCTGAGCCGGTTTGCCGCTGTCGTGCCGACCTCAACCCCGTTAGGGCTACACTGTTGTTATAGATCGACTTTTGGGGCCACTTAGGGACCCATCCTCTTCAACTGTTCTAGCTCACGAAGACGGGCATGATTGTCCCCACATTTGAACTCCTCGACAAAGTGGGGGTACCCCGGGAATACTATAGTCTACTGCGGGGACTTTGTAGGGGAGAGGGGTGAGAGGGAAATGGCACGGAAAATCGCGGGCTGATGACGAACGGTACCCCAAGTTCAACAGCGAATTGAGCCGCGGCTATATATCTGTGCTTCGGTGGAAAGAGCTACTAGGGGAATACGTGGAAGAATCACCTCGCCAACCGATGAAAGGAGGCACCGGGCAACCTAGAGCTTGGGTTGGAAGGTCTCGCTTTCTCTCTAGAGGAATATTATGAAAATCTCCTTTTCGTGCCCCGTTTTGCTAAGCTTCTGCCATTTTTTTGTCACTATCTCTACCAAAGGCCCCCTCATTTGTTTTTTCTTGATAGGCATGTTAGACAAGAGACGGCTCAGGTGGGTAGGAATCTTTACAACTTCGCCCAGGGCTGGAACTGTCCGCATCAACCAATTAGCAGGCGTATTTCTGCATTTTCTTCCATTTCAGAAACTTCGCCGGTTTTCTCCGCGGAAGGGTATCCCCCTCCCGCGAGTGATTTGAGTCGAGGAGAACAATACAGGACTCGCGGCGTCTCGACGTCGCGCCTCCTTACGTCCCGCAAGGGGAGAGAAGAACACCGAATTTTCTGTGCTTCCACCCCATCGCGAACCCCCCCCGTGGTTGTATGCGGACACTTGTGCACTGGTTCTTGCCTACGACGTATGCAAAAGCAAAGGATGATTGCCCGTGTTCACACGCTGCACAGGCTTGCCCCATGTGTCTCCTAGGGCTTGTCGAGAGGGGGGGGAATATGGAGTGTAAAGCAGTCGGCGGGGGCACAGCCCGGGATAATATATGGAGCAGTTTGACCTGTGAGAAAAATATACTTCGAAGCACATCGTTCGAGTAAAAACACAATCACGCAGGCCCGGTGCACAGGGGGACGGCGTGGAGCCTGGCTTAGCCTTAATTGAGTTGGTTGTTGGGTGCATGATATGGCGCAGCTTTCACGTGTTCCTTCGGATACCCATACACAAGGGCCTGAATCGGTACCGAAACCCCGGGGAATGCAGAGGGACACCACTGGTGGTTCAAGATTTAACTCACGTTCCATGATTTGGGGTGCGCGTGTTAACCAGCAACGTGGGCCCCGACCACGCTCACTGCTTGCGTCCCCACTTTTCACCCGATTACCCACGCGCAAAAGCTCATCGTGGGAGGAGCAGGTGAAGGAAGTGAGGCGGTGGGAGAACGAGGAAGCAACCACAGTGGAGATGGAGAGGAGCAGAGGCTGTCGTCGCCTTGGGCCCTGTACAAACGGTCTATGTCTGAAAGGTGAGCAAGCAAGGGCTTTTCGCGCTTGGCCTGAGAGCGCGGCGGATGTGTAATGGTCGTCACGGGGTGCAGTACTTCGCTTCTTCAGCACGAATCGGCAGCGGAATCTTTCCGAAGGTGCGCTTCTCCCGTGATTGGGGACTCTCGTGACCCCCCCGATCCCGCCCTGCTCATCTGCGACGAAAAAACGGCGATGATATTTTGGCAGGCCTCTCTTGACCAAGTCCGTGACGTCGGCCCTAGTATCCGCTCTCGGAGAGCTCATGGGCTCGGCGTTGCGGTCCTCACCCCCGCCCCCTCTTCCCGCCGGGGCCGGAACGGCGCTGGCCGTGAAGGGTAGAGCGGGGGCAGGGCAGGGAACGGGAACGGCTGCACCTGGATTGCTTAGAAGGACCGCCGCATTCGCGATCTTCGGGCTGTTGGTGAATGGACCGGTGTTTCATTGGTGGTACGGGGCTCTAGAGGGAGCCGCCGCGAGGTGCGTCGTTTCAGACGGGCTTCTTCTCCTTTACGAAGCACCACACCTCGTGACATACTAGCCGGTGGCATACAGCAGTTTGCGCCCGCAATGAACAACGTAGTAGTTAAGAACGCGCAAAAGAACCTGAGCACCAATTTGTGAGGTCCCTCTAAAACCCCCTGCACTAAGACCCGTGTACCGGTCACTTGTAGCATCCCCCCTTAGGAACTAGGAAACCCAGCCTCGGCTAACACCAAGGGGTGATTGTGTGCAAGCGCTAACTGCAGACAACATCAGCGCTGTGTACACGTGTTCTGGCGATTGTGAGCACCGAAAGACGAGACCGGTAGCCGTGGTGACGGTGCCTCCACCTATCCAGCCTTCAAGTTGGCAACCCTCCTCCCCACGACCCAAATGTCCTCTCTCCTTGGTCAGACGGCGCAAGGCGGGCGAACCTCCCGGTGGCGCCGGCGACATCACCTTCAAGGTAGCGGTAGATCGCTTCTTGATGACCCCTCCCTACCTGGCCATAACGCTGGCATCTCTGAGGCTGCTCCAGGGGCTCGGCGCCAAGAGGTCTATCGGGGAAACGAGCGCGTTGTATCGAGGGGTGCTTTTCACGAACTGGAAGGCGAGTGGGATGGGATTGGTGTTGTGGCTGTCGTTGTTGGAGTCCGCTGTGGACATGCCCTTGCTTGCTTTCCAATGCGCTGTTGCCCTGAAACAGGCTGCAACGTGGGACTTTTTTTGAGACCGACCGACATGTATGCATACATTGGCGAGGACAGCACACCTGCGGAGTTTTGTGAGGCGGGCACCTCCCGCAGCTGTGTGTCCGTTGAAGACCGCCGCCAAACGCATACGCAAAAAAACTGCAAGGAAAGGAGCTCGACACTCGTTTTTTCCTCGTCAACGCCGGGCACAGCAGAACGAGACCCCAGGGGCATGTAGCCCACCTCGGTTCCGGTCCGGAAGGCTTTGATGACAGCCTCTTTTTCTGCCCAGTCGATCCTTCGGATGCGAGGACGAGGCGTAGGGAGTTGCTCTTGCAGCCTGCGGCATGGTTGCGAGCGCCTGCATCTAGTGTGCACGGGGAAAACACACACACACGCGCACACACACATGCAGCTGGCGGGGAGGAAATGCACATCGCGAGGAGGGTCTGTTCCAATTTCGGCTGAGTTGTGCTGTTGCGCTTGACTCTGGTTGGCCTCGCATGCCCTTCCTCCGAACCTCGCGTCCGACCCCCGACTCCGCGTTCTCTCTCCGACGCTTTTGGTTTGTCTGTCTGCCTGCTCTCTCTTTCTCTCTTTCTCTCTTTCGTTGGTGCTGTACCTCTTTTCTCTCTGTTGCAATCTCTGGCACTATTTTCTCGGGTACCTGATATTTGATATTTCGGCGAATCACCGGGTTGAACCGACAAGCCCTGACGAAATATTTATGTGAAAAACCAAACGCAGATCTGGACTGCAGCTCAGCTACTCAACTTCAAGCTCGTCCCGATCGAGTATCGTCCCGTTTTCGGTGAGTGCACTCTTTATTGTACCGGTATACGCAGCCGATCAGCCCCCAAAGGCGCCAGCAGACAGGGGATGAGTAGGTTGTAGCACAAGCAACTGTTCAATCCTTTCCCAGATTGAAGACCTCGCACGGTACGCGCAAGAGCAGAGCGTGTTAGGACGCTAGGCGGCTGCCCGAGGACGTTATTGTCCACAGTACACACGCAGTTGGGCAGCATCGAGTTTGTGAGAGCAGGAAACACAAGTAAACAAAAATGCGGACGTTGGTTTGTCGGCGAAGGGTGGCCCTGGAAGACACCGTTGCTTGGAAGCTACGACGGACGTGGTAGGGGATGTTGAGATGTTGGTCGTGCTACCCACACCTACTCAACTCGTCGGGCGTGTTCCTTCTCCAATTGTCGCTGGAGGGGCACTGGGATCGGGACGGGAGTTTCGATTGGAGCCTGCGTAGAATGTTTTTTTTTTGCGGGTGGTATCCTAACCATTTTCAAGCATCCGTGCCTCCAAGATTTGTGTTTTTTTCACCCAAACGCGACGACAGGCTTAACTTTTGTATTCAAGATAAGCCAGGAGGATTCATATCCCAGAGAAGCCGCCTTAGAGCGAACGACACTCGAAAAAGCGAACAGGCACTACCTGCTCGCAAGTCCGAACGACTAAAATACACACCGTGCCCGGAGGCTGCGATAGTCTGTCAAGCATGTTTTTTCACATGTTTTTTCACGCCGCAATGATCGAAACAGTCAAGGCAACTATTGGCTCACTTGAGAAGCTAAAGTGAGGTGAAGTTGAAAACGGCATGTTTGTGCGTCTATGCTTTCCACGTATTTCGTATTTGGAATGCCCAGGGGTTTGCACACCGTTTTTTCAAAATTGTATGCGAGAACACCAGTGACTGTTCGAACATCGGAAGGCGAAGGTGGCTATCTTCGTTTCACCTGTGCGTTGGCGGTATTGATGGTTAAACACCCTCTCTCAATCCCGTCCCGCTGTTTCGGTGTTCTGACGTTGTTGACTTTTTTTCCGCCTTTTACATTTTTTGTTCTCGTCGTCTCCCAGGTAATTTGGTGGCATTCTGGTGGAACATCTACCTCAGCCTGCTGCCAGCTCACAAGTGATAGGGACGGCGTTTGGGATCCGGCAGACCCTGCAAGACGCTTTGGCCTACCGCACGCTACCGAGGATATGCAGTTATCTCAGATACCACTGTAGGCAAAAGCCGGAACTGGTGCCAGGAATAGCTGATTCTAGCTGCATTCATATTTATATTCTCCCGGTAGGAATAGCTGCCCGCCCCATGACCCCCGCAATTGGATTGGGGACTGGACTAGGGGCAGATCATTCGGTGTTGCCGATTGTGACAATTTTGGTTTGCGTTTACTGTATCGGCTCTACGACCGACGGCATGATTTCGAAGCCTCTCTTACGGCTATTGTCGATGGTTGATGCACGCGGCGATTGCCGGCTGTTTTTTTATCTGACGAGAGGGGGGGGGGGGGGGGTGCCGCAGCGGTGTCCTTGCCCGTTGCGACAAAATTTATTTGTGGTTTGTTGTGGGTGTAAGCTGTAATGATCGGCCGCGATGGCTCTGTGTGCAAATAGGGTGTGTTACAGGGTTGGAGACAAAATATTTATCGTGTGTTTGGCTCTTGGTCGGCCCAACCGACCACTCCGTTGAGGGATGATTCTGAAGCTTGTGTTTTTCTTGCCAGCGAAGTATTGTAGAAACGCTCTTGTTGTCTTGAAGGGTTTAAGAAGTTGCCGCTACTTTCTCGACGTTTTATTTAGTACGATTCAGGCGTATCAGGTTACGGTTGTGAGTTGTTTAGGAGGGGAATATTCCACGATATATTTATATCATCAATCGGAGTCATCCAAACGGTTTGTTTTTTACTCCCCGCCATCTACGCTCGTGGAAACGAAAATGCAACGGTGAACGAACGTAGTCTATTCGCACGAAGTGTTCGCGGAGTTTCTGCTTCTGCGAAAGAGCACACGAACTTCGTGTGTTCTGGGGTATTGCTAAAGATGTTTGTTGTTTTGGGTGCACGCTTTCATTGGGTTTAGGAATTTCGTGTTTGAGTAATCTAGTCGATTGGAGTCATTTGCGTGTTGCGGTTCGTCTACCTGCTTGCATACGTGACGGGGCTCTTTTTCCGGACAAAAAAGAGCTTACGCCCTTGCCACAAAAAAGCTTGCAGGCTGCGTGAGGACGGTCTTCCCGTGCTTTTAGAGATTACCGCCATGGGCTTAGACCGTCATCACGCCTCGCCATGTCGGCGGGAAAGGTTAATAGGCGCTTGTCCCTTGGACAAACGAGTGTCGCCGGCTTATGGTTCGTGTCGGAACCAACGACACACTTTCCCTCTTGGCCTGCGCTCTTTCCGCGAGGTGATTGGGATTTCGCTAAGCGCACGTACTTAGCGACGTGCAGGGATGGACTATGTTCGCGTGCTATGTATGCTACGTCCATTAAGCAACCCTAAGGAATAATTATGTTGTTGGGAGATACATAAACACCTTGGACTAAGCACTACAGCAGTCCAACCGATGCCAAAGACGTTTCAAATTGTATCGATCAAAGTCGTTCGCTCGTCAGGTCTGAGGTCTTTGCCTTCTTTGGGGAGAATTCTTGCGCGCCATCGGGTAAAGGATCTCGTGCTAAGTCAAACTAGCACCTGTTTCCTGGTATATTGACACCCTACTCGGTACTCTGCAATAGATAGTAAACGGAGGAGGATCTACTGGATAAAGGTCGGGAAGGCTTCACTTGCAGACAAGCACAGCAAATACATACATACGTGTAGATCGCCGAGTTGACGTCAGAGAGTGAAAGGGGCCCATGAAACCAACAAGTCACGTTCCCTCCCTGGGCCGGGCCCCGCGCTTCACCGCTCGCAACCTGTAGCAACAATCTCGCTACAAACGCGTGTCTTACCCACATCACTATAAAAAGAAAACCTCGGCGACAAGGCCAACAACGAAGTGTTGTCGTCAAAGCCTGAGTGCGGCGCTAATGCGACACAGGTCCCCCCTCGAGGAGCCAGTCTAGACGGTGGTACAATACGCTTTTTTCTAAAATCGCGGATTTTTTCACCAACGCCCGAAGCAATCGATGCCCCCATAACTATCGCTTGGTTCGCTTGCTGGAAGTCGCCCCCAAAATTCGTCCTTCCTCGCGTGTGCTTTCTTCGGTTACAGATGATTGTATTGTTTCTTCTTCTGTGCTTGCCTCAGCCGTCGACGCTCCGGTTGCTGTCACCATCGCTACTGTTGTCATGATCATCTTGGGCGCTTTGCCCCCTTCTACCTCCCCCATGCAGTTTCTTCCCTCGCTTAGAAGTGCCCCCTTTGCGAGTGTTGTAGGCAAGGGTGTCGAATGCGTGGCAAATTGGTTTAGATGAGCATACATTTCCATGCCCCACAAATGAGCGACCTACAAGCAGCGTTGATTGCATGCTTCACGCGGGTGAGTACTGGCCATGGCTTTCCAATGTCATGCACTCGATACATAGGGGTCGACACACGCAAACGTCCTCGTACACGCAGGCGCATATGTCGGAACAACAACCATGGAAGACATCTACGGCGTGTGTACCTTGTCGTTACGGCCTCACCGGTCTTTCTGCTCTTAGCTTGCGCCTCCCTGCGTTTCGCGTCGCGCTTCTCCTTCCTCGCGCGAGCACGCCTGTCCTTCTCACGGGCGGCGTGCTGACTTTTTTGGGTGTCCTCGCGTCGTTTCTCGACCTGCAAGGCGGCCGTGTCGCACGCGAGGAATTTTTGCTTTTCTACGCTTTTCCCGCCACCCCTACGGGACGTGGTCCACAATCGACATGGTCGCCCCGCACGAGGATCCGGTACCTCGGCTGGGCAGTTTCGACTGAGTAGCGAGTTGTGATCCTTCGCGCTTCTAGGATGTCCAACATTTTGACGGAGCACGAAACCAACACGAATTGCGGTTTTCTTCTTTGACTTGTAGATTTGCATCCATTCGCACGAGCAGGTTAGGCAATGTGTAGACTCGAGGTGATACACCCGGTGCGACCCCCGAGAAGGACAGCGTCCAAGAACATTTTATTGGTGCATCGCGCACCCACCCTGCACACCGCAAGGCCCCAGTATATCCCTGTTGTTTGCAAAACATACTTTCTGGGCAGTTTATGTTGACTCGAAACAGGCTTGCCTGGGCAGCTGCGGCGGCCATTTGCTCCTCGACTTGCGCGTCGTACAGATCCTTTCCAGCATCGTCGACGATTATGGCAGCCGCTCCGTCTTCGCGAAACTTCACCGACCACGCTATATTATGTTATGAAAGTTGGGCAGGCGGCGAGAGGGGGAAGATATGGTTCTCCCCATTTGTAACGGGAAATGCGTTGCGCCGGTGTGCTGAGACTGCGGGACTCCGCCGAACAATGTAAGTGAGTAGATGTCTCAATCATGTACGACCATTGCGGGCAATCGGGGTACAACGCGGGTGATCGAACCAGACCGAGAAATGAAAGAACAACGCACAATAACAGTGACCAGGCAACCGCATCAGCAGAAGCAATGACAGAGTGAGTGAACAACGGATCAACAATGGGTTGGTTTCGATCGGAGAGTGAGTCCCAATCAAAACCCGAGTGCGAACGACAGTTAAAGGTTACCGTACAGATAAATAGTACCACGCGGGGAGAATGAGGTTGCAAACTAAAAGCCGAAAAACATCTCACCGTCCGTTCCAGCGTCTGTGCTGTCGAATACCACCAAGTCGTCAAGGATGACCTGAAGCTGTATCTCCCGTTCTCGCGGTTCCATGTTCTAACGCCGATAACAGGAATTGTTGACAGCGGATGGTTAGCCAGGGTGCACGCTGTTGCTCTTGCCGCTGCTGCAGCTGAGAGATTGACTCTAGCAGTCCGTCGTTCAAACTCCCAAATGGGAACGACGTGGTCCCAGGCGAAAATTCTCCCGGAAACTGCGTTCGGGATTTCCCAGCGACCTTCGCAAAAGTAGGATGAGCTTTTCTCGGCGTATCAGGTCCAAACGACCTTTGCCACATAAAGATGCACATTCGGCAGTTCAAGGCCGACGAACTTCGCCATACGAAGACAGGCGCCACCGGATTTGTGAACAAGCGGCTCAATGCGGCAAGGCTTCGGCTGCAATCCAGCCAGCGGGTACATTGCAAATGTTCGGTTGTGCTGGCGCGAAGAGTCCCCTCTCCTCGAGTCACCTCTCTCCGTTACGGCGCCAATGTTGAGTCAAGGCCACGTCTTTTCAACAAAGAACATCAACCTGGAGAGAACAACCCTTCTGGTGCTACAGTGGTAGCCAGTCACCCGAAACTCGGCTGTGCTTCCTGTAATCCACAAAAAAAAAAGCAGATCTGAATTCCCCACCCACCAACCATCGCACGCTTTGTTTTAAGTGTGCGAGAGCATGATTCAAGCCGGCACTCTTGCCAATTTTACCCGTGTATGAACAGGGGGACGAGTTTTACCGTACAGGAAGAATGTCGGAGTGTCATCCAAGATCGAACACCTTCACTTTACAACCGGGCTCGAGGATAACCGACGCATGCGGTGCGCACAACCCGTTTAGACCATGCTTCGCCGCGATCAGTCTATTTCCAACACGTATTTTCGTAGGCCAGAGAATAGATGCCAAAGAAAAGGTTACCCATCCTTCCAGAGATCACCTGCCGTCACACGAAAGCGCTTTGTACAATGCATGGTCCGGATAACGAAGAAACATACACACCTTGAACTCCGAGATGAGGGCCGAGTCCCTCGAACGGTCGAGCCTCTCTGCCTGTCTGATTTCGCCGCCGATGAAGTCGTAGCATCTCACAACGAGGGCATCATGCCACTGGGAAACGACCACCAAGAGGTACATGGGAGGGATACCCAAACCCATTACCTGCAACGGCAGGATTTTGGCAGGCAAGGGCGGTGGGGTGGGAGGGAAAACCTATTGCAATCAGTATTTGTTAGTAGCGGTAGCACACCATGAACATGTGTACGAAGACCAATCGTAACGGGAGAAGAGGGGTGAGATGAGAAAGCGTTTTGCGATGATAAACATGGAATACCTGACACCAAGTAGTGATAGTTTAGGTGTGTGTTATGCGGTATTCTTCGAAGGGTTGTTCAATCAGGTGTGTGCGTGATTCTCGGCCGAAGCCCAAGCGGGGCCTTTCCAATGAAACGGAGTGCCAGATTTGCTCGTTCAGGCCTCTTCAATGGGAATCCCCCGCCTGACCAAGACAACGCATCACCAGGACGCGCGCACAAGAACATCCCGGGCTGCACATAGCCTTGACGGACAGTACATACATGAGCCGACATACAGAACACAAGGAAAAGCGGGGGCAAAATTCGTTCCAGAGAGCTATAAAAGACAGGGGCGGGGACGACTGTCTCACCTTAATTACCCTGCGGAAAACACACGTTCCAACTGCGAGTCGGACATCGGCTGTGTCAACTCCGGTCAACGGTCGGCCGGGCTGCCCCACCGCCGTCTCCGCCATGAGCCCGCTCGGAGGCGTTCTTGTCACCTGATCAAGCCAAGGAGGGAGGCCGCACACAAACCTCAATTGACTCGAGATGTACTCACTTTTTCGAAGGGCCAAGCAAGCCTCGTAAGGGGGGGGTGTACCGGGTGGTAGTACTCGCGAAGGATGACGAGAACGAGGGCGAAGAGGAATACGGTACCGCACTGCTATGGGACTGGTTCTCGGCAGGGCCTTAACGGGAGTTTGCGCGCGGCCTCCTGGAGGGAACAGTACTCGGTGCCCAGGCGTTTAACCAGCCGATCAAGAGGCATCGGGCGGAGAGGTAACCATCAATTGTGAGGCTTGTGGTGGGTGGCCTCGCGCGGCCCTTTGTCGCGCGGGGCTTGGAGACGCAAACAAGGGACTGTACCGTCTACGCAGCTCGGGGAAGATAGGTCGTGCTTGCTCGAGTTTGAATACTCCAATTGTGTTGATTCGGGGCTAAGCACCGTAGTTCTAATACGATACCTTGCATTTGAGGCGTGGGTTCACCAACAACGGCGGAAAAATATACCTGAGACGTGATGCACTCTTCAAGGGAAGGCTGATCCGACCCCGAAGTTGTCTGGTCGTAGTCCGGGCGTGTGGCGACGGTGGTCGGGTCCCGGGCAACGCCACCTTGGATATTGCTGCCCCAGTAGCACTTGCGCAAAATCTTAGGTAGCATGTGGCGAAAACGAAAGTTGACCATTTGTACGGAAGAATTTGATGAAGTGGTGGAATGACCTTCGTTCGGCAAACATATTCGTTGTGAGAAATCGAAATACTTCGTTCTTCGTAGAGCGCTGCATCGTCCACGACAGGGGTGTCGTCGACCTCCTGCTGGCGACCCCTCAAACACGCACTCCAAAATCAATAATCTCTCAATACCATGCTCCGGTAGCTTAGTGCCCCTAGGACTAAAGGCTAAGGTGTGCACACGACGCATGCGCTCCCGCCGGTGTTACTGCCGGGACTGCTGCTGCTGCTGTCAATAGTTGCATCAAATCATTAGTGGGGTGGTAGCGGTGGTACCTGTAAGATGAGCTCAATTAATAAGAACGCACCTCGCGTGCGACCCGCTCCCAGGCCTCGCTTTCCGTCAGCGGCGGCACAACGTCATCCCTATTTCTTGCTTTTATTTCCCCGTGTTCCTCAGCCTGTGCGGCCCCCGATGATGGAGCCAAGACTCTGGTCTCCTCTCCCCTTCCTACCAAACCGTTGTCGGACAGTGCCGTTGTTGCTGTCGTGGCACCGGTGGATTTTTTTGCGCCATCGCGCGTGGGATGGGCGCCGCCGAATGCGGTCGTGGTGACGTCCCGCTTGGAGGACCACTCCTCCGCAGCGGCAAGGATGTCCGAGCCTTCGGTAAGAAGGTTCAAATCTTGATGGAGAAGCTCCAGGGTGAAGGTCGTGTGAGCCTCGACCGGCCCTTGCCTCAGGGGGCGAAAGTCATTCGGCGCATACCTATCGCGTGTCACGCAAAGGCCGAAACGTTGGGAAAGCAACACGGTGCCATCTGTGTTCTATTCAGCTTCGGCGATGGTAATTCCCCGCCAAGTTTCGCTCACGTCCGTTGGTGGGTTGGCCAGGAGTTAAAGAGCGTGGCTTGGGACGAGGACGGCAACGGGGAGCGAATCATATATTCAAGAGAATCCTATAGCCATATATTCAAGAGAATCCTATAGCAAAGCTCATGCTTCATTTGCATATATGCGGGAGATCCCCAGCGGATATGCACGAGATCACCATCGCCACGTCAACGTAGATGCGCATGCGAGGTAATGAATATTGACGATGATTCTCGAGCATCGACAACCAGACGTCTGGAAAAGCCTTTCCCAAACCGAACGTGCTACCTGTGTCGGGTCTCCCTTCGTTCGGTTTGGGCGTCAAGGTGAGAAACAACCTTCCATCTACAGAAGCTACCCACTATGCACCAAACGCGACGGTAGCAACAGTCGCTGTTGAATTCCTTACCATTCCAGCAGATAGTCATCCTCAGCGCCGGCCCAGTTATCCCGCAGCAGAGAGTATATACCTCGCGCACCCCCCACTCGCGCTATCCCACCGCACAACCTGAGTACCGGACGCGTTCACCATGAGACGACATAAATAACGTCTATTGGTGCACTGGACATTTTGTAGGTTACGGAACACATCTTCGCCAAGGCTTCCCAAAATAACAACCGCTATATAGGTGTGGGTCAGGCAGCCCCTGGAGCCGCTGGTGCTTGCAGATCCGCCCTGGAGGATGGAGACTCCCAGCCGAGCGCTTGAAGACGTTCAGACAGAGCCTACACACCGTCGATGTCGACAGAATGATCGACGGTGCCCTTCAACGGTGCATATATATAGCGCTAACCTCTCACGGTTGCGGTCGGTCGGTACGAGTAAGTAGGAACTCAATCGCCGTATCTGAAGAAAACCAAGCTGCGGGAGTCTCGGTGCGGGGTCACAACGCTCCCCATCTCTATGCGTAGAGTGGAATTTCGTGGCGTGGTCCTTTGTAGCCGCAGAGGCAATGCGGGGGGGGGGAAATCAGGTTACGATCCGTTGAAGCCCCAATGATACGTTTCCCTTTCGAAAGGGGGACGTCATATCCTGTCACCTGTGCCCGCGTCCGCACTCTCTCCTTTGTCGCGGGCGTATTCGCACCCTTACGACGCATCCGTAAGTCCCCGCCCTCCCCTTCACATCTCGACTCCTCGTTGCCCCTTGACCTTCGCTGTCTGTCAGTTCCTTCCACGAGTCGTCAGCACTGCCGTCCACCCCATGGCTTGATGCTGGGTTCCCTTGCATCGCTGAACCGGAAACATGATCAGCCGCAGCTACTCCAACGCTTGGCTCCGCGACACCGACCGATGCGGAGTGCGTCGACCGGGAAGACACGAGAGAGAAGGCGCGGCGGTGGTCCTTCGGGTTAGGCTGCTGCAGCTGGTGGGCCTTGCGCGGGCGGGTGAACCCCCGGGACGCGGTTGGTAGTTCGTGCGCGTACGCTGCCGTGCTGTCTCGCCCTAGGCACCTAGGAAGCACACGATCGACACAGAGGTTGACAAGATGGCCCGTACGGAGAATTGCTTCTTAGCGCTTGCCATGGCGCTACACCAGCGAAGAGGATTGGGACTTCAGGATCAGGTAGGCCTTGGCACAAATTAAAGAAGCGCCCCAATACCGGGCCACTGACAGCCATGCAATACTTATGGAGCGTGAGCAAGCGTTCTAAGAACTAGGTGAGCTGGGGGCACTATCGCGGCGGAAATAATCCATCCCAACACGGGAAAACAGTCAGCGGAATCGCTGCTTCGAACGGCAGCAGCTGGCAGACCCAGCATTCGGACACACCCGATCCTTCCAGCCAGACACTACAGATCCCGGACGCACCTGATGGCGCAGAACAGTTGTCGGACTCCGCAAGCACGGTGCTTGCTGATCCCTTCGCCGCCCACGGAAAGACCGTTCCACGGATCGTTCTCCATCGACAAGGCCTCGGCGTCTACTTCTTCGCCGTTGTCTATTCCTTCCTCGGAATGTGACGGTCGTGGTCTACTACTGAGCAAGCCACAAATGCGTCGACATCAGTACGGAAACAGCCACGACAAGAGTTCGGGGTGAAGTTGTTGAGAAGGGGGCGCGGAGGCGGGGTAGAGCAAGATGCTTGCGCGATCTACGAAGTGTATATACGTTCTCTGAGAATTACGATTGGCGCTTCAACAATCGCACAATGTATCCCGCGTGGCTTGCGAACAACGCACGAGGAGCAGCGTGCCGTCCCGAGTATATGGCCAGAGATTGCTTAGAGGCGGGAAAGAGGTCCGCCAACTGACGGTCCACCTCCTTTGCCGAAAGCGGTACCATGTGTTGGAAAAATCCCGTAGGTACATGGCTTGCCCACGATCATCCTTCTCCTCGGAAAATGTCCTTGGTAACGCCGTTTCGAATTAGTACGGACTTGCTGGGGGTGCATAGGGGTGTTGACGTGGAAGAAGCGCTTTTGCCATCACGACTGGCTTGGTTCGAAGGGTCGAACATCGTTAGAATCGCGCAAACATTTATCTTACCTCTCTGGTACCCGATCCCTCGTCTCGTCCTCCTCGACCAGCACTAGCTTCGAATTTTTCTGGATGACTGTTTTTATGACTTTCCGTTTCTGTCTCAGGGTCCAGGTCTCAGGAGACGAGGCGACCGACACATGCCGTGCTTGAGCTGCCACTGCGCCGATGCCCAGGCTTAGGCGGAAAGTCGCGCCCGACGGAGGGTTTGTGAAAATCACGCTGTTGGCATTGTTTTTCGGTGACGTTTCGGGTGGGCAGGAAGAGTAAACGATTGCGATCGTGTTCCCACGTGAATTGCACCAATTGTTCGCGACGGGCGGTTGTTTTCTTCGCCGGATGCGGGCATCCGCGAAAGTCGTTTTTTATGAGGGGGAAAGGCGTAGGAGTGCGGCAAATGCACGGAGCAACGGGTGCCACAGATTCGACACTAGGGAGGAATCGTTCCATCGAACGATGCTTGTTCGAGAAACAGCCAAGTAACCGTGTCCATCACTGGGTGGGAAGTACGTTCAAGGGGGTGGTACAGCCAGTTGAGGGGCACCGATTCGTCATGTATGTCATATTTTTCCGAATAGCCGGCAATGAGATCCCTAGAACAAACTGATCGGATTTTAGACATCCAAAGCCACGGCGATAACTGTTATAGGTTCACGTATTACCCCCCCCCCCTCTCTCTTTCTCTCTCTCTCTTTCTCTCTCTCTCTCGTTCCCCAAGCACGTGCAGATTTTACGCCAAATGAATACCTGCCTGCCTGCCTGCCTGCCTGGCGTTCTCTCTCGCGCTGCCGAGAGGACCGCCAGGCTCTGACGAGGGGACAATTTCTACCCCTTTCGCGGCGCCAGAACCTGTCACCAATGGCCGTGGAGCTTAAGTGTCCTTTTAGTGTCCTGGGAACCCCGCCACCACAGTTTGCGTGGCACGGCACTCCCAACAAACGAAAGGCTAAAAACTTGACACCCCATCTCACATCAATGCTCCGTCCTCTCGAGGACGCACGGTCAAAATGAACTAGTCTCACCGCTAAGGCATGCTAAAAAGGAGTACGAACCCCCCCCCCCCCCCTCTCACTTTAGGTTGCCTGGTTGGTCCGGGAACTCGTAGACCATGAGCGTCAGCAGGCGACCCGAAACTTGGATCACGGTGCCGAGGGTAAGCCCTCGAAATCGCTTCTTGATGGCTAACCACGCCTGGAGCTTGGCCTCCTTGGCCTCCTCCGCCTTATTGGCATGGTATCGATGGTCGATGTAATCAGGCCGGAAGGAAGCAAAGCATGGCCGGCGTTTGAGTGCACGTGGCAACGCTGGCGGCGTGTTTCAATCGCTGAGCCTCGGATGCTAAATGTTCGAGCGAGTCCGTCGCCCGATTCGACGAGGGGTCTATATTGCATTTTCCTCGCCAAACAACGTCGTCGACCATGTTGGGATGCAAGTGCGCGTTCCCCACTATGCTTTGCCTCAGCGGGGATATTTACTGCTAAATAGAGAAGAACATACGGGTCCGCACGCCGTTCAGGCCGAGGGGCGTCGACCGCACCATTATAGGCATGTCATGCCAAAGACATGACAAATACAGCGCACCTACATCAGCACACAAGTACGTTTGATACCACCCTAGAGTGCATGAAAAACGAAGATACCGCAGGGGTGAAGGGTGTACGGTATTATTGGGGGCGTGGGGCAGGGGGGAGGACTTACGTGTCGGCGCTCTTCCTTGTACTCTTCGATCCTCACGTCGAAAGCTCTGACCCGAGTCTTTCGCTTGGCCCTGTTCGGTCTCGCCGCGTTTGCCCTGGGGCCGCATGTCTGTGCCGCGTCCCGATTTGTTTGCCACTTTCGGGATGTCGCCGAACGCACAGTTGCAACAAGCGTGCTGCGCCCACTGCGTCCTTGCGTTTTTGCTGTCGCTCCTGGTCCGTTTCGGGACTTTATAGAATGGCCAGACACGGCTTCAGCGGCAACAAACTCTTGCATGGCTGCCGTCGCTGCTGCTGGTGTGTTTCGGGACTTGATGGGATGGCCAGAAACGGCACCAGCGGCAGCAGCCCCGACGCCGCCGCCGCCACCACCACCACCACCATCTCCATCAGACAATTCACCACACGCCGCCACGTCGATATCGAGCATGTTCTGTGTGTCCCGAACTTGCAGACGCTGCGTAATCCACACCGCTCTCTCGTCTGGCGTGCAAGCTGCGGCGGCACTGCACGCCCCTGCCACTCGGCTTGCTGGCCCAGCGGTGGCGATTGAGTTGTTGTCGTTCGGGTTGGTACCGTGGGCGTGCACAGGTCCGCTGGTGCACGCGTCGGAGGTACTGCCTTCGCCGCTGCACCGGCCTTTTGTCTGTGCACTCACACATGTACCCTCGGTAGCCTCCGAACGCTCGTCTCCGATGTTAGCTGGTGTTGCTGCCGCCCCCGCCGTCGGCCCTGCGCCGTAGGCAAGCATGCAATATAAGTGTACCCATCTCAATTGCAACCCTAAAAAAACTTTGGTGGCGCTGTTTTCACTTAGACTATTCAGCGATTATATGTTGACTATGGTTTTCAGCCGTCCTTCAGTTTTTTACGTGTCCGTCTTGCGTCAATGCGCAACGTGAAGGGGGACCATGAGGCCTATTTGTGTCTTGATATGAAAAATGGTCTTACCCCGATGTTCGTGTTTAGTGGCCTCAACGTAGCGGCTTGATGTCCTGCTGAAAGTCTGTCTCATCATACCCAACCTTGACTCTTGCAGCGTTAAAGCGCAGGGTTTCCAGTCCTATAGTGGAACAACTACAGCGCCCCCAACAATAGCACCGCGGTGCCAGGCGGAGGACCAGCAGAGGCTGGCGGAGTAGCCGACTGCAGAGCATGGCTGACAGGCTACCAAAGCACACTCTTACAGAGAATCAGAGCTGGAAGACATGCGATGAAGAACACAGTTCATGAGGGGGTTTGGAACGGTTTGCGTGCACCTCTCTCTAGGTAAGATGTTCTATTTTGTTTGAAAAAATGAACCAGACCGTTCGTAAACTTAGCTTCTTCTCCTGTGTGGCTGCTTAATTGACTTCGTATCTCACAGAGTCAGCTATAAAACGCAATGTGGAGCACCCACGTGAACGCAGACAATCAAAAATTAATACCACAAAACCAAAGAGTGCATGTTACCTGCCCCCGGTAAACCAATCCCGGCTCCAGAGTTCCTGCTTTCCCAATGGAGGTCGAAGTCTGCATCACGGCGGGCGTGGAGGCACGTCCACGGCTCTCGGTCGGAGTAGTGATACGACGTGAAGCGTATACCACCAGGTAAGGTCGAGTCCGCCTCCTGAGAACAATCGCGATGTGTGTATTCGCGAAGGGCATTGTCCGTAGTGAGGTCAAAAGTACACGCGCACATAATGGGTGGCGGAGAATCCTTGAATACTGCTGTAAGCTTGCTAAAATGAACTAGATACCGATGCTGCAAACGAGGACCTCCATCAATCACCCATGGCAAGCCCGTGCGGTGCGAAACACCTCAGTTTCCAGCGTGTAGTCGAAGTACAGCATTTTGACGAGCTCCAGCACCATGTCATCCTTCCTGCCCACCCACATCTTCTCGGGTTCATCCCGAAACAGGCGTTCCAGTTCGTCCACCGCCACGTACAGCTGAATCCTGACAATTGGTTGTATGCATGGAGTAGTCACGGCCTAGGTGGTGCGAAAGGAAGCGCTTCACCAACACGACTCCGCCAGGAAGAGGAGCACTCGGGTCGTTTCAGACAAAGAAGCCTCGGGCAATAATGTGTTGTGAAGATCCGATCATGGCAGGCGTTTTTTCGGGTGCCGTGGTTTGAATTCACGATCGTTTCGTCAGTTCAACTCGCACGATGGCTGCGGACCGGAAAGGCACGTGGAAACCCAACAAGGAATCGAAACTGAAAGAAACTGGGTCACTGGCACGTACTACCCCCCGTATCGGTGACTTCCACTTCACTCGCGAATCGCCCTCGCTGTTCCTATCCCAAAGTACTGATTTCGACCAAATCCGTTGAGCTACGCCTGCCTGAAGCGGAAATTTCGCACAAACACACACTCACGTCTCGCTTGAGGCTGGAATGTACGCCTCGATCAGCAAACATCTGGGGTAAGCTGCACCCTCCACCACCACACGGCCCGCCATTCCCAACCCGAACACTGCCAAAAAGTTGCAAGAAGTGCGGGACACCATGTTGGAAGGTATCTCAAGCGAAGACGGTGGTGTGCATGCATCGGTGGGTTTCATCGGGTTTGGGTTGCGAGGTGCGGCCATTTGTACGCGCTGGTCACGGGTGAGGGGAGGACTTTTGGGTGGCCGTAGCCAATAGACCGGGTCGATCGAATCGAGTATGTGTACGGACCAAACCGCTATGGCCGTCCTGGCAGATATTTTCCCAGTGTGTACGCGACCAGATGTTCGGCTTCTAGGAACAATCGAACAAAACAGGACACACGAAACTAAGCTCATTTTTCTTCGGAGTCGAGAGCATTAAAACCCAGCTTGACGACACATCAGACGAGCAACAGACTGTTCGCGTTTTTTTGGCTGCACAGGGGGGAATACGAGAGTGGACTCGAGACGAGGGTGGACTCGAGACGAGAGTGCACCTTCCACCTGCCCAAAGGGGGGGCGTACATCGAGAACCACCAGCCCCCCCCCCGGAGTGGCTGGTCCGCGTGCTCAACGCAGTAGAGAGAGCGCACGTGTAGGGCCCGGCACAACCTTTTGCGCAGTGAAAACACATATCGCATGCTCCAAACAACGAACTAGGAGTCGGCCTAACACTGCTCGCCCCGACCGTGAGTACATGTAACATTCGCGACTACGGTAGGACATGTCAAAAATATTTTAAGACATGAAGGAAGTTGGGCAACTGTTCAGAAAAAACGAAAGGGCACGTGAGGATGCGCAAATAGAGGTCAGGCGCCGAAAGCTTGGCCGTGAACGAGCAGCGCGCTTATATGCCCGAAAAACACAACACACACACACACACAGGTCCTAAGCGTACGTAAGGCCAGGATGGATCGTGCAAGTGCTACGACAACGACGATTGCGGCCGTGACCACCTACCACGCGTATACGTCATTGGGAGTGGGTACACTTCTCGCGCTCGCCTGTTAGCACCGCTTGCGTCCGGCTGACCAGAAGAGCCCCGGTCCAGAGCGCGAGCTTTCCAAGCATCATTTGCGCCTCGGGGGACCACTCCCACCTAGAGCCGTCCGGGAGGAATGCGTCTTTGGTTTCGGAACCGTGACTTAAAACGACCACATTGGAACTTACCTGATGGCCATCGATGGAGGTACTGCAGTGAGCACACAGTTTCAGACAGATCCGAGATAACCACCAACAGGCAAAGAAGGAGAGATGCACCTAGAGAAAGACTCGGAACGCGGGTAGAACCCACGAGCACGCGTTTAGACTTCCCGTACGCACGACATGAAGCATAACACGGCGCGGTCCAACACAGCTGCATCGCGTATAGCAACGCGGCGATGCCCCGTTACCTCCAAGTGTCTACACCCGTCCCCGCAATCTTGCACCGAGTCCATTTCCTCCTCCCGCCGCTGCCGTCACTGCCTTCCCCTCGTGTGTTTCTTTCATCTCCCGCCATCTCGCCGCATTGGCCCTGGTCTCGAAGGCAGTACCTGATAAACCGCCGTAAGAGTCGAACGAGAAAGGACCAAGAAGGTGGATAGGACGGGCAACTCGACTAGTTCCCTTGAGCTGACTCGAACCGGTGCGAGTCGTACCCAGCGTGAATGTAGGGGGTTGGGAGAGGTCGCGAGCGGAAAGAAGTTTCGATTGCTGTGGGCCCGTCTTGTGCCCCGTACCTCGTCTGGCGCTTGAGGTAAGAAACAAACGGGTGGGAGTTTAGGCTGCACATTGGGATCATGCATAGCACCCCCTTCAAAACGTCACAACGAGAGATCGGTAGCATCAACTAAGACAACCGAAGCGACAACAAATGCTCTCACCAGAAACGCGCTGGCGATTGCACTACTATGGCTACCTGTTTCGGTTCATGGTCGTCTCTTCCTCATCCCTCCGCAGCCGTGGCGGCTCAGCGAAGAGCTCATCCTCTCTGCAATCAAGAAAACAAAGCAAGTACAGCAGCAGCACCAGCAGCAGCGACAACAACAATAATATCGATATCGACGTCGATGACGACAGCAGCCCAACATCAACAACAGCAACGCCAACGACAATGACGACGACGACACCACCAAACCCTAGCACAACCAAGGTAGATTACTGCGCGAGCGGGCGATGGAAATCGGCGTGCTGCTCGCAGCTTTTCCAGCAACGTTCGGCATTAATACCCCACCACATCGTGGCGCTGAGCCACAGCACGACACCGCTCGTGTTATGCTGGCCCTCCCTCTATGGCACGCCGCATGTGGGTACCACAGCTTACCTTCGCGTAAAATCCTACGCATCCCAAGAACATATTTAGTGGATGCCTAAAGCAGACCAGTGCAAACGCCAGCTACAAAAGATGTTCTTCCGGCGTGAAACGTGTCCGACCATATCATATCTTGTACCCCTCTAATGTGTGTCATACCTTCCTTGGACGCCTTTTCCCTTTCGGTGCATGGGCATCAGAAACACCGGTCCTCCAAACCGCCCCCCGCCACTTTGGCCTTCGCCCTTTCTGGCGTTGTTGTCGCTGTGGCCAACGTCCCCGTTTGCCCTACCTGCACCACAAGACCTCCGGAGGTTGAGCTGAAGCGGCCGGAGAGCGGGGAGATCGGCCGGCCAAACCTCGTCAAAGGCCAGCAAGTGCTGCACGAGCGCCAGAAAGCCACGAAAATTGTAGTACGAAAAAGTTCGTTTTTCGAGTGAAAATGTCAAGCGAATCTAACGAAAAGCATGACAAGATGCTGTTGACAGACAAGGTTGCCCCTCACTGTCGGGGTATGTAGCGAAACATCCTCCCACCCCTTCAGGCTTCAATGTTTCGTTGTCACCTTTTCAACCAGTATCACCCTCCCCGATCGGTCAAGGACAACCGCCGGCCTCGCCAAAGCTTCCGCAGTAAGCCCAACGACTGCCCCCGCCACCGCTGTTGCACCCGCCCCTCCCCCGGCCCCCCCTGGCGGCGCCTTACGAACTGGCTGTGTCTGTTGCGGCGCTCTTGTGTGGTGTTCAACGCCGTCCCCACAGCTATCCCCACCACGGCCGTTTCTTTCCTCTTCGTTCTCCATCTCCGCCATCACGCAAGCACTGGTGTTCATGCGTTTTCGACCAGTATCTGGGCAGAGCTTCCCCATGTTTTCCGGAGATTGTTTCGTAGTGGAAGTTGACAGTTGCATGCGTTCGTCGAGTGTTCCTGTTGAGGATACGCCTAAGGCGTTGAGCCGGGTCCTGGCTGTGTGGGGCCTTTTTAGTCCTTTTTCGAGCGTTTCGGGTGTCGAGCTCCCACCCTCCGACGTTCTAGGCCGGGCGGTTGTCGAGGTTGCTTGTGATGACCACACGGTAGCAATACCTGATGGTACAGCCTCTGTTGCCTCGAAGATATGACTGGATGTTGCTCTTGCGAGCACCATATCTTGTGCTTGTGTCGCCTGTTGTGCACCAAGGGTCGTTGTCTTTGTCGTTGCTCTGGCGAACATGTACGTCGGTTGAGCGCGAGGCACGAGCGCATCCGGCGGGAAATGTCGGCGCAGCTGCCAGCTAGAACTACTGCCGAAATTCGAGCGACCTTTCTCGTCGCTGTTGCTGATGCTTTTCGCGCCTGGATCAGCGCATAATACATCTATATTCGGGGGGGTGCTGCTGCAACTATTTTCACCGCTGCCTCTGCCGCTCCTGATATTGCCGCTGTCATTGTAGTTGGCGGTATTGTCGGGTCTGCTGCTGGATTCGCTGTTGTTGCTGCTGGTGCCATTTCCCGGTCCAGTAGAGACGTGTCGACTTGGTGAGGACCGTACCACGCCTCGCCCTGCCTCTCGGGACTCTTTCTCCCTCGCGTCTCTCGGCGAAGCGTTCCAGATGACACTTCTCGTCGGGGAAGAGGAGCCACAATCTTGTGTGAGGTGCCAGGACACCTGCAGCATTGCGGAGAGGGCCAGTCACATTGTCGATGCATTGGTTGAAGGAGGAAGAAGACCTTTAGCCAGGGTGCGAGGCATCGGCTTTCTTCAACACCCAACGTCTGTCCACGATTGTCAAGCATTGTACCGAAGTGGCTCCCGCGCGGCAAGCAGGTGGCGATATGTAGAAAACCCAGAGCTCTACTGTGTTGTTTGGCGATGAGTCTTTACATCAACGGTGCGGAGTCTGAGAATGTGAAACTGGGTGTTCGGGTAGTCTAGCGAAGTATTGAGGGCACTGCACATGGAGTACACGTACACCGGGGCACCGACACCGTGCCGAAGAGTAGCATCATATTTGGCAGCGAGTAATATGGTGTCATCGAGGGAAGTCCTGCTGCAAGGGCAGACGGTCGTAACCAGTAAATCCGTCCAGTCCAGACAGAGACTGGTCTACAAATTATCTCGAGAGACGGGAGAAAGGTCGCAGGGTGCTCGATCCATTGTTGTGCGGAGATGCATGGGCGCAGTCGTCTAGAATCAACAAAACCACCGAAAAATATTGCTTGTAAAACTCGCCTCTTGTGGAAGTAAGGCCAGCTTCGGAATCACCGAGCTTCCGACAATAAACTTCTGTGACAAGAAACAGTGCCCCCGCGTCCTGCTCTTCGTCCCATCGGTCGGTGCCCCTTCAGCCCTTCCCGGCGCCTCATCGTCGGGGTCTTCGCAGACTCGTCCTAGCGCCGCTGGAAGACCACGCCGCCTCTTCCGCGGATAGCAGTAGTGCCCACGGTTGATGCTGGCGAAGCTTTTCTGGCTGCTGCTGCTACACTTAGAGGCTGGAAAACCAACTGGGAGATCCGACCCACCTCTCCACGGCAGTGGTCGGGTTTGTGCGTGTGCAGGCTCGGAATGATGCAGCTCCGCCCCACCGGTGTGGACGGTCAGTCGCCGTTTCACCCTGGCGTAGGAACATTTTACCCAAACGAGGGAAGGGACCCGGAAAATTGATACCACAGAAACTATTGGTGTTTCTCTCTCTATCTCTAGTGCACGGGACTGTGCACACGACTTCATGCTAGGCATCTCGGGGCCGACTGTGCATGTTACGTGGAACACCCTGGCGATTTTCCACCAATATCTCAGAACCCTTCGTGAAATTCGGCCGCAAAGCTTCCACTCGAGTTAAAGGGTGGCTGAACACGAACGTTGATGTTGACAATTTTTGAAAACAAAAACAAGAGCACCAGAAATGGCACACGAGGCATACAAGACCAGTCGGAAGGCATCGCGAAAAACAGAAATCGTTCATTCTCGCACGGGGCGGTAGTCGAGACTGCTCAAAACATACATTTCACGCGTCTAACTCCACACGCCTCCTTTGAAATCAAGATAAAAAATCAAACCAAAAGATCCAAGACGGCAGGCGCTCAAATAAGGTCTGTGTTGCTTTGAACCTGATGCATAGTACTTATATCACTAGAGGACATCCTCTGGCAGCGGCGGGTGCGTGTTGGCGAGCTCAAATTTGCTTATTCTGTGGTGGTGATGTCGAGGTTCGTAAGAGCGGCCTACAATCTCCGCAAACCCCCGCAAATTGGACCGACACCCCCAGTGTCTTACTGCTTGTGATCGCCGCCACTGACCCCAGTCTCCTGAACTGCGGGTTTACAGCAGTAGCTGATGCCACTAGCTACTGCTGACAACCTCCGTTACGGGGTTTACGGTCCGTGGCGGTGAGCACGGCTGTGACAAAGGTTGAATGCTGCTTGGTTCCGGCGCAGATTTCGGGCTGTTTTCAGAGGCTGCCGCGACCTTCGATATTTCAGCTCCAGTAGCAAACCTGAACGTGCCAGCACGCACGACGCCCCTTGATGGTGTCCTCTACTGATATCAGTTCTAATTACCAGGTACCTTAGGCGGGAAGGTTGTTTTCTTTCTTTATGTTGGATTAAAGTATTCTGCCCCCCCTTAACACGCCTCAAATGCTGGTGTGAATGAATATATCTTAAGCGCTTGTAGGGGAAACCTTTCGTGTAGATTTCTGCCAGGCGCGAACGATTGTGCACGGAGGCGCTGTAATAATGGTTGTTTTGGTTGCGAGACGCATTGCCCAAAATCCATCCCATCCACCTCCTCCCCCCCCGAGATCAGCTTCGTTCCTCTGCATGCCATTGCGCGGATCTCGTCCTTGGCGAAGTGGTATTTCATGGAGTAGCATTCACACTCCCCCTGAGATCCATCTGACGCATACAGCAGTGTCCGCCTCTTTACAGAAGCGTCCCTAAATCGGCTAGGCATGCGAGATATAGCAGTCTTGTATGCCGTAGCAGTATACAGCAGTTCCGCGAGTTGTATCACATGGTCTGTATCGGACTAACCGCCATCGCTTGGATGCCTCTCCAAGGCTCGGCCTGTCTTCAGTTAGTACGCCGGCCGCCATGTTGTCGTGTCGGCACTGGAGCTGCAATGATACAAAGTATTCACCAGGCCCCGGCACGTATACCGTATATGACACAAGATAACACACCCCCTGGGCCGATTTTCAAAGCTCGATTTCTCAACAGCAGGAAGAGTCACAGCGCCGAAAACGGCGGCGTTGGAACCATCTCGTGGAGAGGTTTTCGAAAATGTATTGTTTCGTTTATGCATCCTCTTCGTCGTGGAGTAATCGAGCTTTGAAAATCGGTCCAGGGGGTGTGTTATCTTGTGTCATATACGGTACTCCAGGGTCGCCGACGCGGAGGAATTGCCAGCAGGCACACAACGTGAAACTGAACCATTCAAAAGAAAGAAAAAAAAAACGCGGGGGGTTCGAGGGTTGTGTGTCATGTCGTCGTGTCGTCTTGTTGGCTGCACCCTGCTTCACCCTTCACTGCTTCACAGCTTCGCGCACTACAAACTGCATACCGTTCCGATCCCTCCCGGGTACCTGCTAGCATTCGTACTATTAGCCAAACTGATGAGAATAGCTGCCGTGGTCACAGGCGAGCAACCCGAATACTTGTAGTACAGAGGGGTTCAACATCCGAAAAAATATCGCAAGACGGAATGAGTCTCTGGACATGAAACATGCGAAGGGCAGTGTCGATCAACGCTAGACCCTCGTTGCTGTGCATTGGTACGTATTCCCTCCGGGAAATATCTCGAACGGGCAGTCTAGCCCTTCGGTGATGTAGGCAGAGCAATAATAGCACCCATGGGCACAGCTCCACCGTGTATGTACCGCAGAGGCAGTAGATGCAGACAACGCACCACGGCTGAGGAAGGAACGTCAGAACGCGTATTGATATTTATCAACGCAAAGAAAACACAGGCAAGAACATCGATGACAACCTAAAACAAGCTCAACCCGCACCCCGTTTTCTGGGAATATGTAGCAAGGAACCGCCGCGGTGGATGTAGCAACATTCAGGTAACAAATATAAATGAATACCGCCAGCTGTTCCAATTGGGAAGCCAACGACCGTACCACGCTTGAACGGACGCGAAACACAGAACACAACACCTAAACAGAGGCGCTACCTAAACACAATGACTGAGAATGAGCTTTCGCGAATACGGAGACAAGAAAGGTCCTATTGTGTATGTCTAACAAGCAACCATCGTGGATGTGGCCACACTCACAAGGCCTCCAGCCCCATTGTACCCCCCTTGGGCAACCCAACCAATTTGTTTTTCATGCTTGAACGGCAATGAAAGACGAGATGTTCAAGATCCATAAAAGGAGCATAAAAGCACGCACACAAAATATCACGAGCGAAAGCATGGACCAGAACGCTCCACCTAGCGTGTTCTAGCGAGCACCAGTCGCATTGGACATTACAACACGCACAAGATCTACCGGCACGCGGCGGCCATAGCATCCCCACGGAAAGCCAACAAATCGCACGCTTGAACGGCCGCGAAACATAATATATAAACAATCCGAACAGAGGCGCTAACGAAACGCGCAAGAGAGCATGCGCGCGAATCATACCCAAAAGCCTGACCCTGACACCCAGTAAACAACTGCTGTGTACCTAGGAAGGTACGAGGCAGGTCATCATCAAAGGCTGGCGTACTCCAACCACAGTCTCTGCAAGCGCTGGCCTGCCATTTCCGACCACATGCAATCTACACAGAGGTTCAGTTCCACTGGAGTCTCTGGCCCTCACCAATCCAACAAACTCAAACTATTATATATCTGCAGCACCAGTGCCACACACAACACAAGTCAACCGGTCTCTGGGGGGTCTAGTCTATTGAATAGGTACCACCGACCGACAAAGGTTAGACGACCGGAACCAAAAGACAACAAGGAATTAGTTACAAAACCACACAATACTCACAGCACCACCCAAGCCTGCGCGCACCACCAGTCAAAACGACACACCAAAAAAAACAAAACACATACACACAAATCAGCACCCCGCAACCCCCAGGCAAAAACCAAGATTTCAACGTGGAGAACTCATCGAACCTTTCGGGCAACAGGAACGACTTCCACAAGAACCATACAACTGCCTTTAGTTGACGCGACGACATGACTGTTGGAGACCAGCGGATCGCCTCCTTATGTAGCGAACACGACCTCTAACAACGTGGGGCCAACGCCGCGCACAACCACACTCTGATCGAAACTCAATACACCTCAACATACCCATCCGCAATGACGTCGTGACGCGATGGGTATTGTCTGCGTGTGCCCAGACGCACTACCCTTCACGGTTCACGGTTCACGGTTCACCACGGCGTCCGAACTATTGGACACATTCAACACTCGTGGACGCCACCATATGCAACGGCAGAAATAGCAAAGGAACGCCGCGGCGATAGAAGGGACCCTGTCGGCTCCCGAAGACCGGTACGTGTCGTTGCCTAAACACACCAGATCAACCTCACCCCAACTCCTGTGGGGTGGCCGTCGCTCAAGCTCCGAGGTCGGTCGGGGTCACTCCCCAGCGGAGGGCCAGCGAGGGAGGCAGCAGCCTCGCCATGGTTTCGTTCATCCACTGGACCGTCTCCTGCTTGAGCCCGTGCGTGCTGTAGTCCCCGTGCGGCGCGGGGTTCCGGTGGGCCCGCCACACCTCTAGGGCGTCCTCCTCGGAGCACGTCAGGCCCATGAAGTCCGCCATGCCGATGAAGCCATGGTGATGGTCCTGCGAGCGCGCGCGCGGAGAAGAAGGCGGCGGGCCGGTCGGTAGGGTTCGAGGCGTCGTCACAAGTCCATCGGGAGGAGAACCGAACCGGGACGGAGTGGACGTTTGAAAACAGCGGTTATCAGCCCGATCCGGGTTGCGCGAGTAACGCCCGACGCTGTAGTCATGGAACTCCACATCGATCAAGGCCCACCGCAAAATAGCGTCAATACCACGTTTCACGCGAGGGCCTGCTCATCATGGAAGAGATGAAACCTACCACGACTATGAAAAATTGGGGACTACCTTACAGGCTCGCGGAGACCAGATAAAAAGAAAAGTTGCCCTACCCGCGTGCCAGTGCGTGGCCTCTATTTTCTGCCTTAGTCCCTTCCAAAAAACAAAATGTAGCTCCCTCCTCCCCCAAAAAACAAAAGAGTGCTGTTTCAGGTGCTTCCATGATACCTTCAGATCCTCATAGAAGACGACGTGAGACGAGGGCGCCATGACGGTTTCCGTGTGCCAGAGGTACCGCTGGTGTGTCCATGAGACCAGAATCTGCCAACAAGTCCAGACCAACAGCATTCGGGTACACGTGTGGAAGCCGAAGGAAAAAAATGTTGGACGTGGTTTGTCGCGGCCTCAACCGCCCATAAAACACGGGTCTCAACGACTTTTGGCGGCCGCCAAAATCAAGGAATAGTTGGTACCAGAGGGAAGACGCCACCGGATGATGTCAAATTTCAAGCAGCCGCATGGGTTGGTGACACCAGCCTTCTACCCCGCGCCTTGCGGGGCGGCTACATCATGCCGCTCCCTAAATCGCAGCGCCGTTCACGGTACAATTAGCGGTCAAGCGAGCATTCTTGTTTCGGACTTCATACAAGGTCGGTCGGTCCCACAGTATTACCTCAGGAGGCAATTTTCGTGGAGTGCTCCTACCTCGAAGCGTTTCCGCGCGAACACGTCCGGCGTAGCCTTTCTGATCCAGGCGGGGTCTCTGTAGTACTTCATCCGCATTTCCCGCTCGGACATCGCCACGTCTCTGGGGTCCCGTATGATGACCATACTCCTTCGCGACATGGAACGCGGGCGCGGTAACGTCGGCCGGGCGCGGTCAGCGACAACGACAGTTGTTCTCACCGTCCGATGTCATGTACACACAAGCCAAATTCTGAACTTGTTCCGTAGCGCTGTGGGAGCGTGTAGAGGTTCATACGCACGGTCAGACATTCTCAATACCCCCCCCCGGTGTTATCCTTGTGAAAAATACCCTGGGCCGGAGAAAACCCGGCACATCGCTCCGTCCCGCCATTGTAGGGATGCGAAGTCAATAGTCTACCGACTACGGCATACGTTCTACACTCTTTACCCTGGTGGAGCCCGCCTCGCCGCCACAGCCACTGGACACGGCGTGCGCCGGCACGATTTCTACCGGCGACGAAGACGATGACGACATCAACCATGACGATGCACGAGCCGCCCTTCTCACCGTCCAAGATATCGACACCATCCACAACGAGTCCCCCTTATCTCACCGTCTAACGTCCGGATCGACGCTGGGCATGTACTGCACGCACAGGGCCGACGTGTTGAAGAGGCACGCGCGCAGGCGCTCCCTCGTCGGAGTGTCCTCCTCGTCCAGGCACGGCGGAGTGTCCCCGAAGTAGTTCTCGTGCGGCCTGCCCCCGTTGTCGCAGCCGGGATGCGGCTCGCCCTTCATGCCCGGTATGTAGTGTTTGCCGTTGCCCTTCAGAGACGTGGGGTCAGGCGAAACAACACTTTTGTCAAGGCGGGGGGGGGCGGGGTGCACGCGTCTGTGTCCTGTAAGTAAAGCGCTTCGAAGCGCAACCACGAAACACGTCGAGGAGAGGCAGGCGCACGCGATCGAGACACGGCCAGAGTCCTTCAAGTTCCACAAACTCAAGCAGCCTGACGACAGCCAAAGCGCCGTTTGCGAGAAAATGCGGCGAAAGTCGTTATCGACAACAGATCATGTCTTCGTGCAAAATACAGCGCGGCTTGTTCTGTGTCGCTCCGGTACATCTCCCATGCGCCAAAGTGGAACGTACGAGCTGGCGCCACTCCTGAAGGCCGTCATTGTGTTGCGCCATGCTGTACTGACATTTCGGAATCCATCCGGTCGCGGGGAGGATGGAGCCAGAGGCGCAGCAGCACGGACAAACAGCAAACCTCCCGCTGTGGTCAGTCAACATGGCTGCCTGCACTCACATCGAAGTGAAGGAAGAGAGCACCCTCGCCGGCGGTCTTGTTCACCATCTCGAACACGTACTTTGGCGCCGGTATGTTGTCGAGAACAACTAGTCCTCCCATGCCGCACCTGCATCAGCACAGGGCACGTGGTTGACAAGGTCTCAGGGGGTCGAGAGTCACGGTATCGGCGCGCCAGCAGCACCATCACAACGACACTTTTCCTCCTTCCCCTGTCAAAAGGTAAACGCTGTATACGCGGGCGGTTAGACGCACGGGTTACATGCTGTCTGACCTCCAGGTCCAAATGACAGCAACAAATAACGCGCACTACACTACCGCCGAAAATTCCATCTCCACGACTCACCTATTACCATGAAATACGGCTCTCTGTGGGACACTCCCCTCTGGCGGGAGCGGATCAAACGCATGTGGCGGAGAAGAAAAAATAACAATCTAACAACATCTGACAACACGACTGACGTGAGGAACGGGCGCCCCCTCGAAGAGAGACAGGCCTGCGCGACGGATCCCTCCTATAGAGGGCACGACGAGAAGCAGTGTCGACGCACACGCGCGTCACACGCCTCAGAAATCGAAGGAACAGCAAGCCCACGCTCGACGAGGAGAAAAATGTCCGCCGCCTGCCCTCCGGCCTCACCACGAGTTGTTCGCGTTCCCACAAAGGTGTAGCGCCAGATCCGGCACCAACCTCCCCAGCCAGGTCGTGCCGGATTTCGGTTCTTTTGTGTTTTTTCGCGGCCGCGGAAGAGATTTGGGAGAGACAGCGTGGCGTCGGCGGGAGGTACACGGTTTAGGGGGGCGAAGCAGAAAAAAGTGGCTCGAGAAGGCGTACCTCAAACCCTAATTGTGAGAGCACGCACGCGCGGGGCGGGTTCGAAGGGCGATACCACTTGTGGGCTTTTGAATGGTTTCAAGTAGACTACGGGTCTAAGAGAGAAAGCTCTATAGCTTGTTCCGACCGGTCACCACTGTTGTAGTAGCTAAAGCGACGCGTGTGCGCGCGAACCGTGTGCATACTTAGGTAGGTTTCCAAGTCCACGAGCAGGCGATTTATTTGCGCTTCCGGCTCAATTGGAGAGAGAAAGAGAGCGGGAGCTGGAGCACACGGACGACCCGTCAGAGCAAGAGGCTCACCCTGACCGGAGGAAGGCTCAACGTTGCCCTCGTTGGCTGACCACGCCCAAACTGCTTGGTGGGGTGCAGCGTGTGAGTGCTGTACACCATCATCCCGATAACCACCACGTACATCATCGACCTAGATATATGGTGAAAATAAAGATTTCTCAATAAAAAAAAAGCAGCAGCCTCCCCAGCTTGGTACACCACTAACCACCGGTCGCGTCCATGGAGATTCCGTTGCCTGGAAGCTGCCATCCACCTGACAGGTATGAAACAGGTGGGGCCACCAACGACAGCGGTGGTTGGGTGGCTGGTCGGGGCGCGAGGATACCACGAGTGGTCAACGGGAATAGTAACAAACGACACAAAGGCTTCGTGGCATCAAAAGGGGCACTGAACCTCCCCCTCCACACTAAATCGGGTGGGCAACTGGAATAGCAATAAAATGAAGGTCAGACTTGGTGTCAAAGAGAACAGGGGGAGGGCGGGGGGCATGTACGGACGCTGAAACACTGAAGCCGTTGCTGACTATTTGCGGCGTGTGCGCTGGCGGGCTCACCTGGTTCTTGGAGGAGAGGGGTGTCGATAAGCTGAATCGAAGACATCTCAGGCAGTTCCGGTTGGTGATCGCCGTCGTTCGAGGCACTACGAGTTTTACTTTCCCCGGCAACTGCGGGAACCTGCAGCTTCGGAGTGCTATGTATCGAACGGCGGTGGGAGCACGGAGAGTTCGGCCGTTTACGTTAAGGGGGTGAAGAAAAGGGGTTTGACGCTGCCTCTTTTCCATCACTTCAATACTATTCAAAGAAAGAAAACAACTTTAAGGGTTAGGGTTAGCTTTGGGGTTCTATTGTCATCAGTACAAGACACGATGAAGAGGCATCGTGCGTCGTGCGTGCTGGCACGTTCAGGTTTGCTACTGGAGCTGAAATATCGAAGGTCGCAGCAGCCTTGAAGACAGTCCGAAATCTGCGCCGGAACCAAGCGGCATCCAACAGTTGTCACAGCCGTGCTCGCCGCCACTGACCCCAATCTCCTCAACTGCGGGTTTACAGCAGTAGCTGATGCGCGACCTTATTTGAGCGCTTTCCGTTTAGGCTCTATTGACCTGAATTTACAATGGTGTGAAATTTTATCTTGATTTCAAGTGAGGCGTGTGGAGGTAGAGGCGTGAAAAGTATGTTTTGGGGTAGCCTCTACTGCCGCCCTGCGCGAGAGTCAACTATTTCTGTTTTTCGCGATTCCTTCCGACTGGACTAGTGTGTCTGTTGGGCAATTTCTGGAGCTCTTGCGTTTGTTTTCAAAATTAGCCAACATAAAAAATCCGTTGTCTTCAGAAAACAGTATGAATGCATGGCACAGCAGTAAGCAATCGCTTGGTGGTGGCCAACTGCCGTGCAAAGACGTATTGAGGGAATCTCGGTTAGTTGGATGTGCTTTGCCGGATTTTCTAAAAGTAGAGCACCGGCACGTTGACGCTGGGGATGCCTTCCAGCCGACAAGCGCAAAATCAGAACAGTAGACAGTGCCCCCCCGACAACGTACATGAGTCCTACGGTAATACTGCTGTCCAGCAGTGTCCTCACAGAAACAAAACCTAACCTCTGCGCAGTTGCTGCGCAGTGCCGACGAGGTGGAAATTACGAGGATTCGAGAGCTTCACTCCTTGATGCTGCCACCTTCTGCTTCAAGCTGACTTCTTTCACGGAGCTGGCCGTACCTCTCTGGAGCTGTTGGTGCAGTAGGGGGCCTGGTATAAGGCGGTGGTGTGCGTGGTGAACACAACCGCCCTACATCGGGCAGCCGCCTTACTCGTGAACATGGCGTGAATTAAGGCGGTTAACGCCGTATTCTGGGCGGTGATGGCCTTACTTAGGGCAAAATGGGTCTTCAGCTTGGTGGGTTTCACCTCACGGCGCGTCGTTGAGTGCAAGATGATCACGTGCCATGTTTCCACCAAAAACAAGTACAACGAGCAACGATTAAACCTACCACTGCTGTACTCAGCAGCGGTATTACATCCGATGCCAGAGCGATACAAGCCCTCTGGTACACAATATCCACGCACTTGTCACAAGCACTTAAATGTTTGCTCTTTTGGGTGCCGATGCGAGGAACAACGTCTGTAATACCTTCTTGAAGAGCAACAGTCTAGCCAACTGGACCAAAGCATTTGTGGCACGAAAACATTTTTATTGTGTTCTGCGTCCATGACGCTTGGCCCTTGCGTACGGGGTAAAGCACTATTCTTGTACTTCCTCGTCTACGAATAATAAAAACATCCATTCTGTAGCTACAATAAATAGGACGAAAACGCACAAAACTCTTCGCGGCACACCTAGCTCATGCAAGAAAAAAACGCAAAGACTCTACTGCATCTATCCGCCTATTAGAGACTTCTGATATGTCCGACTGCCGCACGCGGACGTGGATCATACCCTGAACGATCGGGAATTTGATGGCTTACCGATTGGCACAACGTGTGGCCTATTGACGGATATGACAGTTGTTGGTTGCACTATATGGATGTTGAAAAGCTCAACCGATTGTCTTTTCATTTCGCGATATGTTTCGGATTCCAATTAAAATTGTTGTTGTTTGTTGTTGTGGTGGTGGTTGTTGTTGTTGTTGTGGTGGTGGTTGATGTTGTTCTTTTGTCGTCGCTGTTGTTGTGAATGTCATGGTTCATCTGTCTGTGTTGATCCAACACTCCTTCATTCGGTCGATGCCGTGGTCACAGACTAACTTACTGCCGAGAACGGCAAGACACACAAAGATGGCCCTCAAGAGTCGGCAAAGCAATACAAATTCACCAAATATTAATATTCTGAAACCTACGACCCCCCTCTACACCCGACGTGAGGTAGACATGAAAATGGAAAAATCAAACATCACCAACCGGGGCAACAGCGCGCTAATTCTATGATCGATCGTGCCCACCGCTCTCTAAGTTCCGGGATATTCCCCGTGCTCGGTTCTCATCAGCCAAGCAAAAATATCCGCCCCTCCCCACCGAACACTTACAGAAGACAGAACACACAGGGAAGAGCAAGACCACAACAACCCAATACTATACCATGATTCCAATATCGAATTCAAAACCTTTCATCGTAGCTTTTGGATGTATCGTTAACCCTCCTTGTACCCAGTCCCTCCGCAAACAAAAAAAAACGAAAAAAAAAAATGTCAGCCATTGGTCGAGGGGCTGCAGTCCCTCCAAAGAATCTGAGCTCCTTGCCAGACAAAGGGTGACTTGGCTTCTGTATGAAAAGTGTCCCCAAAACACGTGGGGACACTTTTCATACTGACGCCAAGTCAGCAAATGTTTCCAGTACCAGGTGATGTGCAGTTTTGCGAACTGGGGGGCACGCGGGTTGGGAGATGTGTGCACCAAGTCAGAGGCCCAGGAGAGGCATCACACAGCACATCACACAGCGTACCACCTCAGCCAACCATGATAGACCAAAGGTTCTCACGTAAGTTGCATACAGCGGAGCCTAGGGTGACTACAGTGCGGTAAATGGACATTTGAGTGATGTGTCCCAAAGTGTCCCCAAAGTGTCCCCATTTGGACTTCCAGAACTAGGAGGGTTAAGCTACCGTATAGCGCGATGGATAGCTGTGTCGACAAAACAGTACTCCTAAAATGTTGCAGCAGTGTTCACTCGCCCAGGTGCGTGATGTCAGAGAAGAATAGGTGATTTGCAGAGGGCATACCGCGGATGCGAAGATGATAATCGCCTTATATCGGGTTTGAGATAGGGGTTTACCGCCTTACACAGGGACCGACCCGAACTAAGGTCTGGGTTGTGGGCGCAGAATTCGGCCGCCTTATATCGGGCATTCCGCCTTATTCACACCACCTTATATCGGCCCCCCTACAGCTGTGTCTTGATTTCCTTGACACAAAACATCTCTGTCTGATGGTCCGACGTCTGTATGAACACGTACGACGTGGACTACAGCAGTACTCCAGAGTATCATCGAAGACTGGTAACTGAACCACCAGGACCTGTTGATATTCTTGAGGGGGAAGAAACTTGTTCCGTGATCACAAGCGCTATCCAAACGAGGTGTTCTACAAGCAAAGAGATCGAGTAACCTCGACAGCAGTACTTGCAGTTGAATGCACAAAATAAATCCGTATGTACGCCAAGGGCGCACAAAACATTTTTTCCAACACCTACCCGACAAAACTTTTTTTGAGACTCCGGGGGGGAGAGGGGGTACGAAGGCCCATCCCCCCCCCCCCCGACGTCATACAATATCCTATATAAACACGCCCCTACTAAATCCTATATATAAAGGGGGCACATTTCATGCACGGGGGTAGTGGCAACCCACGTAGCCCCTGTGGGCGAGCTGAGCTTGCGTGCACCACAGCAACGGTACCGTCCGCAGAAGAGGAGAGAGAGAGAGCCTGGGAGGAGTGGTCACAATGAGCATGGTCTCCTTTGGGAGGGGATACCTGTCAACGACTCCCTTCGACAAGACGGCTTGGCTAAACCGCGTTTGCCGAGAGCGAGCAGATGGCTCGGAGTTCGTTTGCCGCTGTGGATACAACTTCGGCGACGGTTCAGGAGTGGACGAGCGCACCGCCGGGCAGCATGAGACTTCGCAACAGCACGAAGAGTGAGTGTAGAGGACTATTCTGTGACATTTCCTTGCTTGCATTTTGCAATAACCTGCCTCGCAGCAGCAGCAATAGCAACAACACACACAAGCTTGAGCGCAAGATGAAGTGTGCGGCGAAATGCGGAGCAATCTGTCGTCATGCTGTGCATACCAAACGTCGTCCTACTGCTGCCCGTGTAGCTGGCAGCGACAGCTGCGGGGGTTGTGTTGTGCTGCTTCCCGTGCGGCTGGAAGCGGCAGAAGCGGGAGTCTCAACAGCAGCAGCAGCAGCCGCAGCGGTAGCAGCAGCAGCATGACGAAGTTTGAGAAAAAAAAGCGCGAAATGCAGACCGGCACAACCCAGTTGGCACGATGTGTGCCGCGGGGGCATTCGTGCCTCTGCAGAGCTGGCCACTCAACCCGTGCTGCCCAAGTTGTGTCTCCTGCCCTTGCCTGCCACTTCCGCACGCCCATCGCATGCGAACAGATCGCGTTTGCCTGTTGCACAAATCGCTGCGAAGAACAGCAGCGGCAACTGGGTTTGCAGCACGTGCCAGCACTACGTCGGCACCGGTGAAGGGCTGAGTCAGTTTCAAGTAAAGCAGCACGAGGCGTCGACCGCACACAAGTGAGGACGATGGCGGTGTCCACATTCACATTGTTTGGTCTGTTTACTTGTGCTTACCTCCGTTTCAACTCGTCCGAGACTTGCCAAGATCTCGCTGAACGTCGCGCAAAGTATCAAAGGGTGCATGCAACTCTGTTGATGTGTTTGTCGATGTGCGTGAAAACGTCGCCTACGTATGTATGTAGAACAAATAGACAATACTTGCTTCGGTCTCTAAGCGGCGGGTGAATCAACATTTACTCACATGCGCAGGAATGCTGCTCAAGCTAAGAGGTAAAAAAAATACACTGCTTAGTTTTTGGAAACCGACGAGCACCGCCAAGTGACGGTGGCGGGGACTCCGACAACGCTGTACTCCGAGAGGCGCTGGACACGGAGGGAGAAGAGCCAAGCTCATCTACCCACAGCCCATGTGTGCCAAGTCGGCGAGAAGAAGGTGCGAGG